ATGCCAAACATTTTGGGCCCAATAAGAGTTTTCATGACATGTAAACCGGCTCAATGGAAACTTGAATACGTCACGAGAATGCGTGCAAATACAAAGCAATGTACAGCGTAGAGCCGAGTGTCGTACGGTTTTGAGGTTTTGTAGTGTTTTAACATTTGCAATAACAGCAGAAGTTTGAAAATACGCATTCCAGTAATTTGCGATTCCCTGTAGTTCATGGATTATTTATGAAAATGTGGATACGAACCTTTTTTTAGTTATTTAGCAATTTGTGCTTAAATTAATCGGTTACTGATGTGAGTCGTTTCGTACGAAAACATACTTTAATGTGGACCCATATGGAATATTTGTGCCTTTTTGTTCTTAAAAAAATTGTAACCTCATAATCCGCACATTTATCGCAGATTAATTTAGCCACTAATCCTGTGCTGTGCGTTCCCAGTAATCCACACGTTATTTTTTTTGCGGATTAATAAAATTGCGTGGCTTACATCAAGATATGTCCTGCTGATGAGGCACTGTAGGTCCAAACCGGTCCAGAGTTTGCTTGGATGATGGGGATGTGTAAAAATACATATATTTTTTTGTGGAGTGACAGATATTTGAAGATGTAATTATCCGCTTTTTTATTATTACTTATTTTCTCCACAATGGTGCTAATGATGATTTATTTTTTTGTGCTTAAAGCGTACAAGCACACTTTTACAGCGGCTGACAATGCGTCAAGGAACGTAACTGTGAGCTCCATGTAAACCAGCTCGCTGGAAAAATACTGGCCACTAGTCAAGCCGTACGGTACCGTTCTCGTAATTAACATCAACCTCAAGCGAATTCATCATTAAGTGGACATGCAAGTGGGATGGACTGAAAGTTCAAGCATGATCAAGCCGGACTTGAGTGTCACAACAACAATTTAAAACGCACGTTTTTACCTGCTTTCATGTGTAAAGGGAGTGAGCGTTGGGTGCATGAATGGCTTGCATGCCACATTACAATTCCAACAACCAGAGTTTCAAATAATAAAAATTTAACAATGTCATCGGCAAGTGTAATCTTAAGCCTGGTTCGGGCATCTGCTGTGGTGGACTAAAAAAAAGTATACCTTGCCAGGGATGTCACAATCATCCCCAGAGAGGGAACAGCGGCTGAGATTGGTTGCTCGCCACACCTTGCACGAGTACACGGGTATGTAGTGAATAGGTGCTCTTCTAGCTGTGTGTGTGTGGGGAGCGGTGGTGCAGCGGTTAGCACGCTGCGCTGCGAACCCGGCCACCCCAGTTCGATTCCTGCTCACGGCCAACACCGGTGACCATTATCTGTACCGGTCCTGGGCCTCCCCTAGGTCGACTCAGCCTCAAATAAGTACCTGGTGTGATGTAAACATCGCCACTAAGGAGACAAAGGCGGCCGGGCGTGGTGTTGGCCACCCACCCCCCTCGTGTGCTGTGCCGGCCTTCATAGGTGCTCGCTAACAGCACTTGACCCAACAGTCTGTTAAGGCTATACGGGGGATCTGTATCTGTCTATGTACCATTGATTCTGACTCTGGTGCTGTATCTTTCTTACAGGAAAACGTACCGTATAATGATGTTAATTTGCGGACACAAGAATTACTACATCATGGTTCATATCATGATGTAGTATTTTTTATGTTAAGGAAAATTACGCTGCACGTAGTCGCATACCTGTATGAAAAAAATACTTCATAAAAATACACCCATTGACATACAATTGCATTGCACTATAATACTTGTTACAGGATGTAATATTATATTCGGTTAAATTGTCTGTAAGCCCTGTTAATATTAGAAAATGTATTTTAAAAAAATAATCCCTATTTATATTTAAGCAAACATAGATTAATAGCCAATAACTTTAATTCCGTTTTTGATGCCACTGCCTGATGTCAGACTTGGCCAAACACTTTTTTTCAAGATGTAAAAACTCACAACTTAGACCCTCTGAATTCTGACCAATGAATAATCCATCGGTAATTACATGTTTGGATTCAATCGAAATTATATCCCGAGAGCGCAAATGCATTGGTCATTGAGTATTTTTGAAACTCGAATTCAGAGAATGTCCTTAGGAAGTTAATGCCTCAAACTACTTTCTAGAACCACTGTCATAGGCTTCTCTTCCTGACGCTGCGTAGAGCTCTCTCGTGCCCTCTACACACACACATACACACGAGGGTTCACCACACGTCACTCATCCCCTGTACAGTGTACACTTTAGATCTCAAAGATGCAGTCACCAGTGATATCAACTCGTAAAAACTCGAGAAATTTTGGCTGGATGAAGTGCAGCTGTGTGCAATTTTGAACCAAGGATTGTCAGCAGTACCGGATTATGAATAGGCTTACCACCTGTTCTGGTTTTCCCGAGATAACCTCGTTTTGCTGGAGTTGTCCCAGGAAATCTGTTAGTCTTCGCCCAGGTAACGTAAAAGTCCAGATTTTTGTCACTTGCATGAAAATATACCACTGAGGATAATGCATTTGCATTCAGTTCTTCCCCTCTTCCGGTACTGTGAGATATTCTTATTCGTTTGATACAGTGAGGGAAAAAAGTATTTGATCCCCTGCTGATTTTGTACGTTTACCCACTGACAAAGAAATGATCAGTCTATAATTTTAATGGTAGGAATACTTGAACAGTGAGAGACAGAATAACAACAAAAAGATCCAGAAAAACGCACGTCAAACATGTTATAAATTGATTTGCATTTTAATGAGGGAAATAAGTATTTGACCCCCTCTCAATCAGAAAGATTTATGGCTCCCAGGTGTCTTTTATACAGGTAACGAGCTGAGATTAGGAGCACACTCTTAAAGGGAGTGCTCCTAATCTCAGCTTGTTACCTGCATAAAAGGCACCTGTCCACAGAAGCAATCAATCAATCTTATTCCAAACTCTCCACCATGGCCAAGACCAAAGAGCTCTCCAAGGATGTCAGGGACAAGATTGTAGACCTACACAAGGCTGGAATGGGCTACACGACCATTGCTGAGTAGCTTGGTGAGAAGGTGACAACAGTTGGTGCGATTATTCGCAAATGGAAGAAACACAAAAGAACTGTCAATCTCCCTCGGCCTGGGACTCCATGCAAGATCTCACCTCGTGGAGTTGCAATGATCATGAGAACGGTGAGAATTCAGCCCAGAACTACACGGGAGGATCTTGTCAATGATCTCAAGGCAGCTGGGACCATAGTCACCAAGAAAACAATTGGTAACACACTACGCCGTGAAGGACTGAAATCCTGCAGCGCCCACAAGGTCCCCCTGCTCAAGATAGCACATATACACGCAAGTCTGAAGTTTGCCAATGAACATCTGAATGATTCAGAGGACAACTGGGTGAAAGTGTTGTGGTCAGATGAGACCAAAATGGAGCTCTTTGGCATCAACTCAACTCGCCGTGCTTGGAGGAGGAGGAATGCTGCCTATGACCCCAAGAACACCATCCCTACCATCTGACATGGAGGTGGAAACATTATGCTTTGGGGGTGTTTTTCTGCTAAGGGGACAGGACAACTTCACCGCATCAAAGGGACGATGGACGGGGCCATGTACCGTCAAATCTTGGGTGAGAACCTCCTTCCCTCAGCCAGGGCATTGAAAATGGGTCGTGGATTGGTATTCCAGCATGACAATGACCCAAAACACACGGCCAAGGCAACAAAGGTGTGGCTCAAGAAGAAGCACATCAAGGTCCTGGAGTGGCCAGCCAGTCTCCAGACCTTAATCCCATAGAAAATCTGTGGAGGGAGCTGAAGGTTCGAGTTGCCAAACGTCAGCCTCGAAGCCTTAATGACTTGGAGAAGATCTGCAAATAGAAGTGGGACAAAATCCCTCCTGAGATGTGTGCAAAGCTGGTGGCCAACTACAAGAAACGTCTGACCCCTGTGATTGCCAACAAGAGTTTTGCCACCAAGTACTAAGTCATGTTTTGCAGAGGGGTCAAATACTTATTTCCTTCATTAAAATGCAAATCAATTTATAACATTTTTGACATGCGTTTTTCTGGATTTTTGTGTTGTTATTCTGTCTCTCACTGTTCAAATAAACCTACCATTAAAATTATAGACTGATCATTTCTTTGTCAGTGGGCAAACGTACAAAATCAGCAGGGGATCAAATACTTTTTTCCCTCACTGTATGTCCTAGTTTTTGTTTCATGGATAAGCTTCTTTTCATTTGGAGGTAAAAAAAAATCTTTGTAGGTCGTACAGCAGCAGACAGTAAGGCACATACTGACATGAAATTTGGGGTTAAGATGTGACGATAGGTCAACTAGCACATTCATATCTTGGAGACGGCTCATTTTTACTGCTTATTTTCATGAAGTGAATCCTGCGATGCAACGATAGTGCGGTCTATCACAGTTAATGCATGCCAAAAGTGATCATTAAAAAAGAAAATAGAGCCTTAGAAGAATATTCAAGCATAACAATAATTAAAAATGATACCTTTTATTTTTACAAGTTATGATACTGCAATAAAACAAAAGTATTTCCAACACCAGTGTTGTATTATAATTGGTTCATTTATAACAAGGCATGAGACCAAGAACTGTTACATGTGACTGATCACAAGCAGCTGAAATACTGCTTGCTCTCAAGTAAAGCACCAAACGGAAATCATCTAAGGCAAAGATCCCCCGTATAGCCTTAACATACCGTTGAGGCAAGTGCTGTTAGCGAGCACCTATGAAGCCTGGCACGGCGCACTAGGGGGTGGGTGGCCAACACCACGCCCAGTCACCTTTGTCTTCCCAGCGGCGATGTTTGTACACACCGCACTAGGCACTCATTTGAGGCTTAGTCGACCTAGGGGAGGCCCAGGACCGGTTCAGATAATGGTCATTGGTGTTGGTGGCCGTGAGCGGGAATCGAACTCGGGTCGTCGGGTTCGAAGCGCAGCGTAGCGCTCACCGCGATACAACCGCTCAAGCACCTCACCCTTCAGCACAATCTCTCACTGCCAAGAAACTCATTTCTCAATCTTAGAAAGTTTAATACTCGTGTATATAATACCAAAAATACATTTGATTAAAATAATGGCATGCAGCATTCTTTTGTGTGTAGCCATAGAGCAAACAAATCGCTGTGCCAATATGAAGAGGATTTAAGGACATCTGAAAGCAATGCACAATACTGTCATTACCTGCCAACGCTACTGATGAAAAGCAGCACAGTAACAAGCCATTTATCCGGAGCATTGCTTGCGAACAGTGGTCCCACTTATCTGACTATCTACAACATATCGATGTTCTTGGTTCTTTCGGTAAAGTCACTTATTTTTTTATTTTTTTATTTCCCTTCTAACGTGGTGACTTTACCGAAAGAACCAAGAAGATGAATCCCTGCAGTCACGAAAGCTTTCAATCGAAATTTAACATATCGATGGTTTCACCAATTGATTCTCACCCGCAGAGTGCATATCCCACGCCTGCAAGTCCACAGCATGTCTGGTGTACAGTATCTGTACGCTCTGTATGGATTATAATTAACTGTGTATGCTGTGTGACGGAGGAATGTGAAGGTTCCAAGAAATGAGACATGGCACATTATTATTTACATAATAGCAACATCGCCAATAAAGGCAACGTTTTCTTAAGCGCGGCAGGTAAATATCGATCGCGGTCGGATGCCATGCAACATTATCTTACAACCAGCCAATGACGATAGCCGGCCTGTGTAGAGTTCGGCAATGATACTAACAACACGAGAAATATATCCTGATTATACGTGAGAACCCATTTCAATAATAGAACACCCCTGAGTACAATCCTAAAGCCTCCAGTGTTAATGACTAACCAAACTAATGAAAGCCGGAGATGTACAACTGGCAATGTGATCTCTCTTTAGTACAGCGGGATATCTAATTGCCTGTGCACAGCATCATCTTTTAAATAACCTTTAGCACCATCGACAAGGTGAGTTACAATGGCCGAGATGTCATCTCACAGCAGCATTCCTCTCGGCCAAGTTGAAACAGTTTCATCAGCTCCAGCTTTCTTCTTCTTCTTCAGAAAGTTGATTCAGCCCTCGATGGCCTCTGCGTCATTGTGTCAGGGCACACGGCAGCGGGAGAGAGAGAGCAGAATTAGCAACTCTGTAATCGTTCGAGTGAACCGCCTATTGTTAGCACGGAAGAACATTCGTTATTAGCACAGGAGATAAGGTGTTTTATCCCATTATAAAGGTGCAAAGGAATAGGGTGCAGCATCCTTAATAGACTCTGGGTTCACAAAGTTTGCCCAAATCAACCGGCCTGATTTATGCACGTGAAAAATGATTGCTGTGTGTCTGAAAATCGTGTAGGTTTGGTTTTCTCTAATTTGCTCTTGAGATTTATTTTATGTGCTTCTGTCCTTTCCATATTGATTATTCGCTGTGCCTTTGGCACTTTCATTAAATATTGAGATTCTTAAGGATGTTACAGGCTCAGAGAAGCTGTATGCATTTTAATCTGGAGTGAGAATTACCCACATTTGTTAAATAATCAATGGGTTCTATATTCAATGAGTCTAGTCCATGCATTGTGCAGTCTTCTTGGGTAAAGGTGAATAAATAAACACTTATTTTTAAAGTTAACCTAGCAGTTTTGGCCATGATCATTCTCTGCAATCGTTGTTTTTTCATTAACTCTTTTAAAAAAGCCAATGTCCACAAAGCTTGGCCTCGGGAACAAACACGTCATTTAAATCGGTCACGACAACTCGTGTCCAAGCACCATAAACAAGCGACGGACATCGCCCCTCTCGGCGGTGCTCGCTGCCCCGGTGCAAGCAGTGGATGTGGTGACAACGACGACGATGACGACGATGAAGAGGACGATGAAGACGACGCTAACGACGATGACGATGATGAAGACGGCGCTAACGACGATGACGACGATGACGATGAAGACGATGCTAACGACGATGACAACGATGAAGAAAACGATGACGATAACGACGATGACGATGAAGACGATGATGACGACGAAGACGACGAAGACGATGATAACGACGACGACGACGACGACGAAGACGACGACGATAAAGACGACCATGACGACGATGACGACGATAACGACAATGATAAAGACGATGACGCGATAACGACGACGATGACGACGACGATGACGATGACGCCACAATGGGCCCTCACGCTCTCACACCTGTTCTCAGGAAGACGCAGGTCTTCTTGCAGAGGCTCTCCGAGTCGAAGCGGTTCCTGTTCCCGTCGCATCCTCCGTACCAGAACTGTGCGCAGGCATTGGCCTGCCGGTCGTAGTACCACTTGATGATGTAGTTGCGGCACGAGCCTTGGTCTAAAGGCTCTCCGCAGCGGCCGTCTGTCGGCGAGACCGCCGCGTGCACATCGACAGGCAGGTTACAGCTCTGGTTGTACAATGCTTCTACTTGCAATGTTTGCACAGTATGTTGAACTTATTTCGCACCGCACGTCGCCGATCGTGCTAATCGGAGGTGCGGCGTGGGGGGGGAGGAAGTTATCAATCTCGACTTAAAGCGTATTGTGTATGTGTGTTTCGTTTGATATTCATACACAGCCTATGTATTCAGTGACTCTTGCCAAAATCACCTGGAATGTGTCTGATCCTGTGAGAGCACAGAAACTCGGAAGGCTTGAGCCTGGATAGTGCTTGAATGAGTGACCAACATGCACAAAACAGCTGTCGTGGGCACTTTTGGCAGCTGAGCGCAGTGCAGAACAATGCACTGTTGTTCTACACTTTTCACTTTCACCCTGCACTGATCAGCGTGGTGTGGTCTAGTGAGATGACCCATGTGACCACCCCTACACCGCGTGGGGATGCCTTCGTCTGGCTAGAAATTGACAAAGGTTATGAAATAAACTGTTTTCGAAAGAGCAGCATTTTGGTTTTCGCTTGTCTGGCATGACCTACTGCGCGTGAGGTGGTGCTCCGTCTAGGGGGGTGGCCCTGCGCAAATTATGGAAATTCTCACGTGCAACGCTCACCACCTGCATTCATTTTTCATTCACAAATCCGAGGCGTCGCGCACGCCTCCTGCCCCCATCGCCCTCTCCCTTCCTCCGAATGGCGTTGGCGTTCGCTCAGGCTGCTAAGCCCAGAATCACGGCGGGAAGGGATACGGCTGGCGCGTGTTCCAGAAGCGTGACGCGGCTACTGACCCAGCAGGAGCTCGTTCTCCTTGCTCGACAAGACGGTGGAGGAGCCGGGCGATGAGGACGATGACGAGGAGGATGGGCCAGGCACGACGACGATGATGTTGTTCTCCCTCGAGGGGATTCCGGCGCCCTCGGGGACGCGGGGTCCCGGCGAGGGCTGCCGACCGCCGCCCGGGCGCCCGTGCACCGTGCCCTCCTTGTAGTCCTCCTCCCCGTAGTCGTAGTCGCCCTCGTCCTTCTCCCGCACCTTCTCCTCCTGCTCCTCCGCCTCCTCCGGCTGCGGCTGCGGCTGCTGCGGCGGCCGCTGCGGCGGCGGCTGGACGCGAACGGCCGGCTGCCCGCGACGCGGCGGTTGCTTCGGGAGGGAGAGACCGAGGCGAGGCGGTGGAAGGGGCATGGCGGCGCGGCGGAAGGGGGGTGAGATGAACGCACGTGCATGGGATTGTGTGACGCTTTGCGACGCGCGTTTGTCTTCAGAAGTAGTCCAGTGGCAAAATGACCCGTGGAAAGCGGGCGGATAGTTTTCGGGGTGAAAAAAAAGGATTTGTTTCTCCCAGTTTGGTTAAGCCTTTGAACAATTGGCAAGGTTTTAATACGGATCAGACCACTAATAGCAACGCGACCAAGTAATATAGGATTGGTCATATTGGATCATTACCTTCAACAGCAAATCATGTTTTTATTACCATAGCAAAGTCCGCTCACTATTTTCTGATCAAATTTCTTTTGCGTGACAATAATAATATTGTCCCTATTCGCCAGAGAAATGCACAACGAGGCCTGAAGATGCATTTTCAGGAGTGTCCTTATTCAGACATTTCGCGATTCGCCTTAATGAATATCCAAGGATGTGTGACATTCACGAATGCATATGAGGGAATGGCACGAAACAACGTTTTTTTAATCTCTATAGTTCAACAGCCCATTTTCCCGAGTGTCATCTACTGACATTCATAACGATGATATATGATATCTTCGGATAGTTTTTAATGTATTCCTTATCCCCTTACCGGCACGTTTGCTGGAATGTCACCGTTGAGGATGGTGTTGAGGGCCGTGGTGGCAAAGACCAATCCCTCATCCTCACAGAACTGGCTCACCAACTTGGACTCCAGCACTGCCAAGAATCAACACACGTGCCCCTCAACTCACGCCACATTCCAGCGAGCTTTGGGGAAAATAAATCTGCTCTGTTTGCTCCACTTTGCACTGTTGATCAAACAACAATAATTCAATAATAGAGCATTTATTTAAAGTCATAGATTAATCAATTACATTACGCACACAACTGTATCATAATAATCACATTTTGGCTTGCATTTAGTATATTGGTAGCATACTTTCTATACCTCTTTTTTTCCTCATGATTTTCTATGGCACCTTGAGATTCGCTTGCAAAATACGAATTTTTACCATTTTAAGTGGGGAAAAAGCACTCCAAAGTAGCTTACAGCAGCCTCCACATGTTCCACACCGACTCAACGGCCAGTTACGCAAATGCACACGGGTACTTCAACTTACATCATACATATAATGCCAGTGGCAAAATCGCCCGATTGATGCTGCATGTAATTGCAAGCGAAACGTCACAGTACCCAAATTGTAAATGTTGTGGATTTACTCTCCAACAGACCGGTGGGCCTGGAGTAGTGAAACATTTGCACGTTTTGTTTACGTGACAAACCTTACTGGTTGGCTGTGTCGGATGGTGGCGGGTTAACAACACATTGATATCATGGGACCTCCTTTGCCAGTATCAAAATATGATAAGAGGTTTTCCCCTTTTTTCTGGCAACAAAACGGGTGTGAAGATGTTAAAACACCAAACTGAAACCTTTTACAAGGAATCATGTCTGCATTAACCACAATACTTGTGGTCAGAATGCAAACAAAAAACATACTCTGATAATATATGCATTGTCTTTGAAACTGATTGGTCCACACCAGAGACAGCTTTCTTTTGAGCCTCGTCCTCTGGTCTAACACCGTTTGAGACGAGGCTCAAAAGAAAGCTGTAACTCGGTGTGGACCAATCAGTTTCAAAGACAATGCATATATTACCAAAGTATGTTTTTTGTTTGCATTCTGACCACAAGCATTGTGGTTAATGCAGACATGATCCCTTGTAAAAGGTTTCAGTTTGGTGTTTTAACATCTTAACACAGCTGTTTTGCTGCCAGAAAAAAAGGGGGAAACCTCTTCTCAACACATTAATACTTACGCGATCTAACCCAAAACAACTTTTTTTTACGAATAATATTGGTTGTGAAAGCCTGCTGCCGTGTAACACATATAATCCTGTAGATTTAACGGCACTAAAAAAAACCGCATAAAAGCACAGCGTACATGTAAAAATACATGTGTTTTACGTGAATGATTAATGGCAGTACATAATGAGGGTGAGGCAAGAAGCAAGCAGACACATGCAGAAATATAATTGCTGCAAAAAATTAACGCACCAGCAAATGTAATCAATTCAGAGCGATTTAAAAATACAATTAAAAGGGGGGAAAGTGTTCGCTGCAAAGGAATGATGCTCAACCTTCTCGCTCGCAGGTCATTGAAAAGGTGTGCAACAAAACAGACCAGGACTCATATTGTGCCTTTAGCATAAAAGTCAGACTAGTATGCTGCCCTTTGTCAAACGCACGCAAATACGATCACACGCCGCTGTGGATGCACGCTTTGCCAATGAAAAATATTGACTTTAAATCCCTGCGAACTGCAAGGTTGCGTATTCTTTCCCTTACGGGATGTGCGTTCTCTTTACTTAATGCACTTTTGTGTAAATAGCTAAGTCAAAAGCCAGTGCCCTCGTGCTTAATGGTGTATGGAACGGTGTCCCCCATCATTGGTGGTCGAGCCAGCGGAGGATGCGGTATTTCACGTTGTTATGCCAGGGAGCAGTAGCATACAGTGAGGGAAAAAAAGTACTTGATCCCCTGCTGATTTTGTACGTTTGCCCACTGACAAAGAAATGATCAGTCTATAATTTTAATGGTAGGTTTATTTGAACAGTGAGAGACAGAATAACAACAACAAAATCCAGAAAAACGCAAGTCAAAAATGTTATAAATTGACTTGCATTTTAATGAGGGAAATAAGTATTTGACCCCTCTGCAAAACATGACTTAGTGCTTGGTGGCAAAACCCTTGTTGGCAATCACAGAGGTCAGACGTTTCTTGTAGTTGGCCACCAGGTTTGCACACATCTCAGGAGGGATTTTGTTCCACTCCTCTTTGCAGATCTTCTCCAAGCCATTAAGGTTTCGAGGCTGACGGTTGGCAACTCGAACCTTCAGCTCCCTCCACAGATTTTCTATGGGATTAAGGTCTGGAGACTGGCTAGGCCACTCCAGGACCTTAATGTGCTTCTTCTTGAGCCACTCCTTTGTTGCCTTGGTCGTGTGTTTTGGGTCATTGTCATGCTGGAATACCCATCCACGACCCATTTTCAATGCCCTGGCTGAGGGAAGGAGGTTCTCATCCAAGATTTGATGGTACATGGCCCCGTCAATCGTCCCTTTGATGCGGGGAAGTTGTCCTGTCCCCTTAGCAGAAAAACACCCCCAAAGCATAATGTTTCCACCTCCATGTTTGACGGTGGGGATGGTGTTCTTGGGGTCATAGGCAGCATTCCTCCTCCTCCAAACACGGCGAGTTGAGTTGATGCCAAAGAGCTCCATTTTGGTCTCATCTGACCACAACACTTTTACCCAGTTGTCCTCTGAATCATTCAGATGTTCATAGGCAAACTTCCGAAGGGCATGTATATGTGCTTTCTTGAGCAGGGGGACCTTGCGGGCGCTGCAGGATTTCAGTCCTTCACGGCGTAGTGTGTTACCAATTGTTTTATTGGTGACTGTGGTCCCAGCTGCCTTGAGATCATTGACAAGATCCTCCCGTTTAGTTCTGGGCTGATTCCTCACCGTTCTCATGATCATTGCAACTCCACGAGGTGAGATCTTGCATGGAGCCCCAGGCCGAGGGCGATTGACAGTTCTTTTGTGTTTCTTCCATTTGCGAATAATCGCACCAACTGTTGTCACCTTCTCAGCAAGCTGCTTGGCAATGGTCTTGTAGCCCATTCCAGCCTTGTGTAAGTCTACAATCTTGTCCCTGACATCCTTGGAGAGCTCTTTGGTCTTGGCCATGGTGGAGAGTTTGGAATCTGATTGATTGATTGCTTCTGTAGACAGGTGCTTTTTATACAGGTAACAAGCTGAGATTAGGAGCACTCGCTTTAAGAGTGTGCTCCTAATCTCAGCTCGTTACCTGTATAAAAGACACCTGGGAACCAGAAATCTTTCTGATTGAGAGGGGGTCAAATACTTATTTCCCTCATTAAAAGGCAAATCAATTTATAACATTTTTGACGTGCGTTTTTCTGGATTTTGTTGTTGTTATTCTGTCTCTCACTGTTCAAATAAACCTACCATTAAAATTATAGACTGATCATTTATTTGTCAGTGGGCAAACGTACAAAATCAGCAGGGAATTAAATACTTTTTTCCCTCACTGTATCTATCGATCAACCACTTTGACTTCATTCATTTTATCACCACCGGAGGGATAATGTGCCGACTCGACCTTCGTCATACGAACTTGCAACCGTCTGACCTTGAGTCAAGCGCTCAAAACCTTAGCACCACCTGGCCGAATTAATACCCGAGGTACACAAAGGCGATTCGGCGAGCTGCAACCAACAGGGCCAGGTAACGCTCCGGTGTTACAAGGAGGAGGCAGAAGCACCGAGAGGCCCACGCCACCGGATCAGACACTCACCGGACAACGTGTTGAAGTCATCGATGAGGTAGACGTGCTCGTCGTCGGGGTCCGTGGCGATGAGGTTGAGCTCGCGGATGAAGTCCGCCTGCGTGGGGTCCGTCATGTTGACGATGCCGATGGCGAACATCTCGACGTTGGCGGCGTGCGCCTCCCGCACGGCCAGGTCCAGCTTGACGGCCTCGCGCTTGTCCGTCTGCCCGTCCGTGATGACGATGGCGAACTTCTGGACGCCGGGCCGCGAGCCCTGGAAGCCCTCCTGCACCGCCTTGCGGATGGCGGTGCCCGTGTGCGTGCCCTCGCCCAGGTACGGCATGCGGTGGACGGCCTGCCGCAGGTCGTGGTGGGTGACGTGGCGGGTGAGGCTGAACTCCAGCCGCACCTCCAGGCTGTAGAGCACCATGCCCACGCGCGTGGCGTTGCGGCCCACCGTGAGTTTATCAACGAGCGCGTTGACGAACTCTTTGATGATCTCGAAGTTGTCGGGGCCCACGCTTTCGGAGCTGTCGATCACGAACACCAGCTCCATGGGCCTCTCTTTGCACTTCCTGCCGCACCCTGATGCACAGCAGAAGAGGGATGACCGGCGCGCCTAGGCCCTCATCAAGGCACTCAGAAAAAAATATTCACGCGTTAACATTTTTTAAATATATACATAATATGTGAGCAACCATTAACCGATGATGATTGGGGATCAAAATGGTTACATAGTGATGAACTAAAGCAGGTCGGAGCACTTTTGTAAAATGTAATTTGATACCGATTGGCAACATGCCAATGTTCTGACAGACTGAACATTTTCAATCCATGCATTTTATGTGCAATGACATATTAATCCGAAACATTGACACTGACAATCATTGAAAAATTGTTGAAAAGCAAAAAAGCGTGGAGAGATGCATGTTAGGAATGCAACTGATCAACTAAAACATAAACACTTGGATCCGAGAAGAAATGCAAATAAGAAAAATGTTGACTGTAAAGTTAAGTCGGCTTGGCCAGGATACAACGCTAGGAGGCATGATGGCTAACATACGGGATGGAAACAGCATGCCAGCTCAAAGACAGAACGTGACCAAGAGGAATTCCATCGCAGATTTGGATTGGTGAGATCAGCTCATGTTCAGGAGCGAGATGAATCATGGCATCACAGAACCTTGAAGGATGCCATTAGCATGGGGAAGCCTTCATCCAGCAGTATACTGTATAGACCACAGATGATGATGGTGATATACACAATATACAGTACTTTGGTTTTATGTAGCATCAAAACAAAGTAATCATGGGTGCGTTTACATACCACAGACCTCCTTGATCAGTTTAATAACATCTTCCCTCTATAACAACAAAAAACAGCCACATTATTAATCCAGGGTCGTGATGTTACAGTGCCGCATGAAGTAGCCGAGGACGTGCGTGCGAGTGTGGGAAGGCATCCACTGACCGTGAGTCCCGCCTCGCCCTTCGACCCAGCTCGACCCTGCCACGATATCAAACAAGAGACAGAGAAGACTGTAGAGACTTCATCCTCCCCTGCATTGTCATCGTACCGTGCAGAACAGATGCAATCGTTTCTCACCGGTGTGTTGGCTCGGTCACAGCGTGCGATTGTGTGCGGAAATCCACCGCTATTCTAATCCCCCTGATTGAAAGCAAACCGTTGCAGAGATGCATTTGTCGTACTGGCGGCTCGGTCTTCAAAGCGACGATGGGCGGTCATTGGTGCCGGCATCTGGCAGCATTTAGATCACAAGCTCCGCAGTGCTGGCTACATACTCGCGTTTGGCTAACACGCACTCACGTTTGCTTAATTTGACCTCGGCGAGGGTTTGACCTGACGCGCGTGTCAAATAAAGTGACCAGAAACAAGATTTCACCAGATGCATCATTTGTGCACAACATTTAACTAAATTACACGACGGTGTTTAAAACCATAAAATAAATATATATTTTTAAATGAAAGGAACTTAAGTATGCAAAGCGGAAAAACATGGCGATATTAACATGTACATTATAAAGTGGACATGTATGGAAAATGTAAAGAGCATAGGGTTGACCTGTGTATTTGTGTTTTTTGTCAGTGAACAATGCGTCGTTGACATTTGAGTGCGGTGCCCTAGTTAATGGCATGTAATCACTCGAGTCACAAGGCTGTCTGAGCTGGCAGTGAGGCAGACGGCCCTGCACAACAACAAACAACAACCGCCATTCTCCACTTAAGTGGCGGTGACGTCACCACGGAGCTTGTGCCAGGCTATGTCCACTTTAAGATCACGTGAAGTGCCGAACGTTCGCTGGCAGGTCACGGGACAGAACCAGGTGCCGTGGGTTGATGACTGGCCGAAGCACCACCTGTGCCCCCTACTGTGCCAACTTGCTGTGTTTTAGCCGCCCAGCGCTCCGCTCATTCTTGTGAGCACAATAACACACACGCACACACTGGCTTCTTATGCTAAGTCACAGCAACATAATGAAAACATTTTGTCAGTCTAGATCTTTTTAATGGTCCATTCTTGCAATTTTTGCACCAATTACTGCAAAATTGTAATGGGAAAAAAGCTATCATTTTAAAGGGACAGGGGGACATTTTGCCCCATGCTCTGGAGTGTTCGTTTATCTTGGTAGATAGAGTTGCCGCGACCTACCGGGTCTCCGCTCGGCCCCGTGTCGCCCTGATCGCCTCTGTCTCCCTTTCTGCCCCTCTCTCCTGGCAGCCCACGGTCACCCTAACAGCGGCAAGGACAGAATCATGACATCCATCATCGTGCAGACCACCCCCACCCCCCACACATAGGCAGCGATTACTTATTGTAAGGCACCACCTACCATTTCACACACTCAACATTTGATGTATACGGAATATGATTGAGTAAATGGAGTAATGATTTTCAGCCCTTTGCCAATTCACGTGTCGGTCATAGGGGCTTCGGTTGACCATACTTTACCACGCTGGTCAGTGTGGGTTGGTGAAGAGGAGGGGGGAGGGCGAGCCCAGGGGCAGTTCACATATCACTTGCCACTGATATTAGCCACAAGGCAATTGGCAACCACTGCTGCGCTGCTTTCAGAAAATACCACATATAAATATTAAATACTCTACTGTACTCGTGTTTTCATCTGAATGCCAGCAATACTAAGCGTGGATAAAGAAGTAAAAAACAAGGCAAGCATGATAGCATTTTGCTTCTCATTCCTGATGCTTGGATTACCTCTTCTTAATCGTAGGAAAGGGGATTACGGTTTCCAAACATTTCGCTTAGTGCCCTGGTTTTAGCGATCTGTATGTAAGCACTGGATTGTCTCACCACTTTATTTTATTACAGTAGAGTAGAGGAGTCTGAAATACAATACGTACTTACTAATTGCAAATAATTGCCACTGCATTTTTATATTTACCCGCCTATGCGGCTGAAAAGGCTATAACATTGAGAACTATAAGGAAAGGTGTTATAAAAGAATACTGTACATTGAAAATGTGTGTCTTTGCTAGAGACTCGACATTTAAACATATAACTTTATTACCAGAATATAGTAAGATAAGGTTACGGGAATTCTAATTGAAATGGAGCACGAAAACCTGCAAGCACAAGCAGACATTGACACAAGATGTTCAGACCAATGGGTTAAATCAGATCTCTTTGTATCAATTGAAATGTGCAGATTATTTCACAAGTTTCCATATGTACACTCACACATTTCACTTACATGTAAATGAAAACAAACAGATGCAAGGCCAAATGCTTAATTCTCTGTGTATTCCGTTTGATGCTCCACAACACAAAAAAAACATTTGAAAAAAGATCACTGGGATACTATGAAAGCGTTGACTCAATCCTGAGCAATACTGCTGTAATCGTTATGCATTTAGCACATGTTGTTGGTGTTTGTAAATTTGCTGAAAGGGGTCTTCACTTTGGACAAGCGCAGTAAATAAGGAAACTTAAAATGTTCTCCATACGTATGATGGCATGCGCAATAATAAAAGGAAGTACATTTGAAGATGAGACTTTCCATGATACGTCTCAGTTTGTTGTACCTCAGAGGTGACAAGTCGAGTGTTGAGCAATGTCACACTAACCTTGGGCCCTGTGAGGCCTTCTCCTGTAGGTCCTCTGGGTCCCACCATCCCTTGAAATCCTTGCTCTCCCTTCGGCAAAAAAAAATATATAAACATTCTCTCGTTACGCATTGGCTTCCCATGGCGGGATACATATTTGTTTTTATTTTGCGTAACATTGTGTGAGGATAAACATGAACTGTTGTAAGAGTTGATGTAATAACACAAGTGGAATGGCAGCACATGCGATTATGAAAGTAAGAATCATCATATCCCCCTCGCCATCAAACAGATGGAAGTGAATTGTCCGAAGTAAAAATGATTCTTGCCAAAAATAATAATATGCGTCTCCTGTAGATAGAATCATGCTCTGCATTTTAAACAATACACCTAACGAGAGTATCAAGCTAAATCGTTTGTAAATATCCTATGTAACAAAACACGTTTAAAAAGCTGCACGTTTATAATAATAATACTAATAAAAACAGCAGTGCACTTTAATTTCACGCGGGTGCACATTTACTGTGGATGACATATGTTCGGGCAACAGCGCACTGAACATCAGCTTGTGCATAATGAGATGTTGTGTCCGTGCAATGGGCCAATGTCATAATCACCTTGGGTCCCTGGATGCCCTCCCCTTGAGGCCCTGGTGGGCCAGAAGGCCCCTGGCGTCCAATGGAGCCCTGTCCACACGAGACACAGGGGCACAAACTTCGTATGAGCCAAGCCATCGTGACAAATGAGAATAATCATCGCTGATAGTTCTTAAAAATGTAAATTCTGCTCTGGAGGTAGGTTAAAGCCTAATACACACAGGTTTACATTTGATCGATGACATGACAAGTTGAATATTCGTTAAAACAAAGCAATATATGAAGATAATGTAATTTGTAAAACTAACCCATAACCCCCAACGAAACATTTTTATTGGTCAGGCTCTCAGAAGTGCCAAATTGATTATGAAAATATTTCCTACTGACAGCTGCTGGTTTGTAAGCTTTTACTGCCAGTCACCTTCCTCCGAGCTCTGTGCATTTCATTACTGTAAAGCACTGCTTTCGTTCAGATTGTTGTAAATTTGTATTCATTATGGTACTCACCTGGAAGGTGGCTTACTGGATTCGAGGCATGGTGACCCAGTGCACGATGTTAACAATGTATTTTATTTTAAATGCCGAAGTCAATTGCAAAAATGTGTGTCAATAAATGAGTTGGTGCGGCTTTTAATTATGTGATAAACACACAGAGGTTTACTAAATACCATAATTTGAGCATGCAATTCTCAGTCAACAGCAGGGGCTAATTGATTTTTTTAAGTGGTCAGAGAGGCACTGAAATCCCTGAAATACAAATCAATTGTTCTGAACAGGTCCACATGAGAGATGCCCACAGTGCATACATCAAAATATATCGACAGGAAATATTTCAGATCCAATTTTACAATGCATAAAACATAATATTTACAGTTATTATTTGTACAAAAAAAACCTGGAAAGTCAAGAATTAAAAGGGACCATTGGGAGTCGACTGAGCAACACAATTGGATTACCTTTGGCCCAGGAAGTCCTTCACCAGTGAGTCCTGGAGGGCCTGGTAATCCCCTGGAACCAAGGTCACCCTACAAACACCACATTTAACATGTTACTTTTTTACCGAGGAAGACGGGATCAGAGGAAGAGAATCAACTTTGCATTCAGGACGTCTAGTGTTCAGAACTTCATGACAGGATTTAAATTAGAATATGAAACCATTGTTTATGATCATGGTGATGGTAAAACATCTACACACATTGCAAAATACCCAATGGCGTTTTGAAATTGCTACATTTAAAATATATAACACATCATTTATGATCATCACCACACGAGCCTGAAACAAAATACGCAGGCCAAGTGATGCCAATATTTTTATGTAAATCCAAAAACCCACCCGTGAATTACTCTTATAAAATATATCTTCAATATTCATCATTCAGGGGTTCCCTGCTTATAAAAGTAAGTATGTGCGTGTATGTGTGTGTGTAAGGTCTCATACCTTGGGACCGGGCAACCCCACGCCTTCTGGTCCCAGCTCTCCCTGAGGCCCTGGCAAGCCTGGTTGGCCCTGCAACAACACAAGGCGATCACCTTAAATCACAATCTACGTTAGCAAGGCAATAAAACAAATGTTTTGATTGTGGTTTGAAATTGATTGTTTTGAGCGCAAAAGCCCCATACAACACGTCGATGGTTTCCGTGGAGGGAGACGGAAAGACCGAGGGGGGGGCGGTGGTGGGACAATTGTCTAGGTGTGGGGACGGAGTTCAGTGCCTACCCTGACTGAGGGGGTCTTTCGTGGGGGGGGGGGGGGGGTAGTGGGAGCTTGTGTTTATGGGAGGGGAGGGGGGGAAGAGGAACTGTATTTAGCAAAGTATTTAAACATTTCAAGGGAAAATCGAGTTCATTGTGTCTAATATAATTGGTATTGATTATATTGGCGAATATATCTCGATGGCAAGACAGGCAGAACTTCGCTTAGCCGTGACCCCATAGATCACCGATTCGTTATAGCGCTCTTTATCATAATACAGGTCCTTGCAGATGCTGTCATTCTTGCCGCCGTAGATATTGGCTAAGATAAGTGAAGGTATCCCCTAGCCTTAATGCCTGCACCGCGAAAGCCATCAATGTCAAGCGGTGTGGGGCGTTGCGTCAATTCATACCGCTGGCCCAGGGTAGCCTTCTCCTTTGGATCCCACAGGGCCAGGGGCACCTGGCAAGCCACGATCGCCCTGGCAAACATAAAGAAAAGCAAAGTGCAGCCGGGCATGAGCATAACAAAATATCTTTAGGAAAAAAAACTCCAATAAACCTCAGCGCATCGCTGAAACCCTTCTGATGTAATATTAAACAAAACGCAATTTTGTTTGAAGCCGAGGGTTACCTTTGGTCCGGGCAGACCCATGCCGGGTTCTCCAACAAAGCCAGCAGGCCCAGGGGGCCCGTGCTCGCCCTGCAACCATCGTGGGGGTGAGGAGCGCGTGTCAGAGCCACACACGCGTTCACACGAGCACGGATCCGGAGGGCAGCTCCCAGACACACGGCGATACACATTTCATCCTTGGTCTGAATGTCTTCATGTAGATGAGACAGACACAAAGACTAAACTAAGCTATAAACATTTTTTTTTTTACCAGGTAAGGCCCATTGAGCTATATAGCTCGTTTTCCAGAAACAACCTGGCCAACGAAGTGGCTCATCGTGTGGAAATTCATAGGAGCCAAATACTCCTAATGCATGTTTCTAAATGTGGAGGGAAAAAAATCGGAGGACCCGGAGAAAAATACACACAACCATGGGGAGAATATGCTAACTCTATATATATACAGGTGTCAGGGTCGGGATCGACCCCACGACCTCCTGCATACCAGGCGAGGTATTTAACATCTCCCCACTGTGGCAAGCTCATCCAGTAACTAGCATTCATTTTAAATTGTCACAGATACTATTAACAATAAGAAACAGAGTTGTTTTTTAGACCAACACACATTACACAAAAAATTTGGCTAAGTGTTGTCGTGGGACAGGGCTTAACTCAGCATCAGAGGATTATGTTTAAAAAAATCATTTTGAGGTTGATTTAGTGTTACATGTTTGTCCATCTTCTTTGGATCTTTCGGTAAAGTCACGTAGATAGAAAACAATAATAACAATAAAATAATAAAAATAAAATCTATCTACGTGACTTTACCGAAAGACCCAAAGAATATGAATTCCTGCAGTCACGAAAGCTTTAAGTCAAGATTTATGTTTGTACATCACCACGCTCCAACACTGTAAAAGTACTCATATTAGGTCGCCTTCGTCAGTTTCTTTCAGGCAAGGCACATCGAGCTAAGAAGCTATTTGTTCAAAGGCGACTCAAGTAAACTGATCACATGTTTTGCAATGGCTCCACGCTTTTCTCAAACTATGGGTGCTGAGTGCCCTAGCGTCACGGCTAATTCCTTACCTTGGGACCAACAATGGAACGTCCTGGAGAACCTGGCAGGCCGAGACGCCCAGGCACGCCGGGCTCCCCCTGACAGCAAACAGGGAGAAGTAACATCGCAAACAGTGCAGCAAAAAAAGAGACGGCGAAAATTATTGTGAGCAGTGTCAGTGGCTGACTGGTGGTGTATATATTGTATATACATAAGTGTAAGCTGTATGCAGGGCGGAATGGTTGTGCAGTGATTAATTAACCCAGCAACCCGAATTTGATTTTCGGGCATGGCTAAGGTCAGCAGTGAGTGATGTCTCAGCCACGATGATGACCACCGTGCTGAAGTATTGTCAAACTGCCCCGATGACCGACACAGCATGAGGAGGTTTTAATTCGGTAGTGTATTGACAAAGTTTGTTCATCATTATTCATTTGTCTGCCACCATGTCGGCAGAATGGGTAGTGGGGAGCGGTAGTGTAGCAGTTCGCACGCTGCACTACGAACCCGGTGACCCGAGTTCGATTGTCGCTTACAGCTAACACCGGTCCTGGGACTCTCCTAGGTAAACTCAGCCTCAATTGAGTACCTGGTGCGGTGTGTAAACATCACCACTCGGAAAACAAAGGTGGCCGGGCGTGATGCTGGCCACCCACCCCCTCGTGTGCCGTGCCGGCCTTCATAGGTGCTCGCCAACAGCCCTTGCCCCAACATTCTGTTAAGGCTATACGGGGGATCTTTGTCTTTTGAGCATGCATCAGTAACACAGGGTTCATAGCACAGTGCCTTAACCATCGAACCATGGCTCTCCGCACTATCATTGAATATGTTTTTGTTTAAGCAGGTGAACACGGAGCACGATGCGTGGACGACCGGTGCGAGCTGGCATGGACAAGGTGGCGCACCTTTGCCCCAGGTAACCCGGAGATGCCAACAGGTCCGGGAACCCCACGTGGTCCCCTGGGTCCTGGGTCTCCCTGCACAAAAACACCCCGGGTAACCGGTCATGGTGACAGCACACGCTCTAAAAAGCGTAACGAATACACAAGTCCATACATCTTTGGAGTGGCACGATTTGAACAACTTGACTTGCACCCCCAACGTGCCATTCAACGCTTGCCAATCTGGATTTGCCTTACAGAGGGCACGTACAGCACCCCCGCGCGCACGTGCGCATCGCAGATCAGCATTTCTTATTTGCAAGGGTACTGGTCAATGCTGCATACAGCTGGTTGTTTGTTTCTCTTGACTCGCACTCCTGTCGGCCATTAACACTTGCCAATCTGGCCTCATTTTTTATGCAATTCAGTTCCCCCCCCCCACCCTGTAACATGCATGCTTTACATCTCAGGACATTGACCCTTCTTGTAAAATAGGTCCTGGTAAAGAGTCCACTGCGGGTGGTGTGTAATGTGTTGATGCCGTTAAGTGCAACCAGGCTTGACCAGAACTGGGGCGAACTGGGGTGGACAGGATTCGTAAGTGGGCACGTGAAGGAGTCGCTTGCACAGCTGGTGTCTATAAAATATATATATGTACTCTATTGAGTTTGAGCAAATCAACAAATATGGGAGGACTCGGCATGCTATTTTCTTTTAAAACACAAAGCGAATTGTATTTGCATTGCATGTTACTGAAGATAACAAGGCTGCATGGGGTTGTTTTCACTTGCACAGAAAACAATTCTTCTGAGAGGTCTGAGCCTCATCTCTACTGCATTAGCTATAAAAAAAACATTTGGAATAATAAGTCAACGTTTGTTTATGATTGCGTAGTAACTCAACACATTAACATCTGCAGACAAACATATGGAAAAAAACTTTTTCATAAAGATAATTGTAAACAACATTTACTTATCCAAAATAAGTTTGCGAGATCACTCTCAACAAACAAAAAAAGTTTTGAACTGGTCTCCCGCAACTCCACCGCAATCTTTGGAAACAATCTAGTAACAAATGGCGAACACACACGAGCATGGCTCCGTGTGTCACAGCCCTCGCCTTGCCAAAGCCTGCATGCATTGCGTTGTAATAAATGCCCAAGGCTGGGCTGGATCCGCACTCGTATGAGTGAAGTGCGTAACACCGAGCTGGCTCTAAGGAAATCCGCGTGACCAAGACGGGCGTCTCAAACCTTTTCTCCCTGCACGCCAATACCAGCACTCCCCTCAGGCCCGCGTGGCCCCGGTGACCCGATCTCACCCTGCCACAGAGAACACAGCAGCAGAAGGGTTTCCCTTGCAGAGGGCACGCACAGCACCCGCACGCACATGCACATCGCAGATCGGCATTTCGTTATTTGCAAGTGTGCTAGCCAATGCTGCGTACAGCTGGTTTTCTGTTTCATTCAAAGTGAGAGACTATCTGTGGAAAAAAAATGCAACCATCACTGGTACGCGTGCCATGTGAGACGCTGGCTTTCATTCGTTGCTTACCTTTTGTCCAGGTGAACCATCCTCTCCTAGAATTCCAGGGATTCCAGAAAGCCCTGGGGATCCTATCTCACCCTGAAACAAGAACACACGAAAAAAACCACACTTCAATGCACAGTCACATACACACCTGCCCACATGCCTCCTGTGAAGATAACCTTATCTATGCAAGATAATATATTGACTCCCAACTCTTGCACATCCAATAGCGCTGTTTATTGCTGGCCACGTGGCATTTTTGGGCCTCTGCTCAACAGTTGTAATGTTAAATAAAAGTTCTGTCTTCTGTTTTAACATCTTCAGCCTGAAAGATAAATTATTATTTTTAAATGACATAGCAAATTTACTTGACTTTATTAAGTCATGCAGTTTATAATGCGATTGAATAAAGTGCATGCTGAATTGCTTGTTTTTAAAATACACTGTTCAAAAGCCAAAATTGTTGACCTTGTATACCGACATTTCATTGAAATTAAACACCGCATTCACAACTGCATGCACAGGGTTATACTTGTGTTATACTTGCGTGTATTTGTTATTGCACTCAATTGTGACAGGAATCTGATTTTAATTTGAAAAGCTTATCACATTACATAATGTTTTCATTGTAATTTTATTTATTTCAGTTAATTTCATTATTTCAAAAAAATACCCCTCGCGTTTATGATTGATTTTATTTACAAACAAAAACCAAGAAGATGGATTTAAATATAGTCTATGTTTTTACTTTGTATGTCCCTTTGTAGTTTTCAGTTGACAATACTAAATGTATAAATCAGATGTTTCCTTTTTATGAACGCACCATCTACTCTCAACATTTGATGCCTACCAATCAGCATAATCAGCATATTGTTTTCATTAAACCATGAACACATTTTTTTTAAATATCAAACTCTGCACTAAGGAGGGAAGAAAAGCTGATTTATGAAATATCTGGTGGAATGTGTCATGAGTATAATATTCTCAAAACCCAAGACTAATATTTACTTAAGCACGACTTTTATTTAAAATTCACTGTTTTAAAACATATTTGATATTATAGTCCGAGAGTCCTTTAATGCCAATAAATCATACATATGGCATTAACATTTCACACAACTAACACAACCATAGCTTTGCAAGGGAAATAAATAAAACGCTCCACCTTGACGACATTTATTGTCAGTCAATTGAGAATGCGCGGTTATATTTGGGTCATTTCGCCGACGCGTCCGTCCAGCGTTTGCTTAGTGCACAGAAGACGTGGCAAGCTGCAACGATGCTTCACCTTGGGGCCAGGCTCCCCAATGCCGCTTGGACCCTGAGGCCCGCTGTCCCCAGTGAGTCCTCTGTCTCCCTGTCAGAGCAGGGAGACACGAGCCACGTGGCACAGTCGCAAACAAAATGTTATTGCGAACCAAGCACGCTGACAAAGCGGGTATGCCGGCGCAACGGAACACGATGCCTGCATCGTACACGTCGCACAGGGTTGGACAATGTTCAGGATATAGTACTTCGTGTTTGTGGGTTGGGCTGTATAGCTCCAATTCAGTTTCTGAAGCGAGTGGAAACGTCAGACATCACCCCAAAAAACATTTAAAATCACTCCATGATTTGTTGAGCATCAAGCAGTCAACACTTCCTCAAGGCAGGCACATATTTCATGGAAAGGGAGCGCAAGAGACAAATATAAACAGATTTTAAAAAGAATCAGAAGACAGAGGGGGCCAGATTCACGTAGTTGTTTTGGCCAGCATTTCCCCCAAAACAGCCTAAATTTACGCAAAACACTGGAATTCCGCAAAAGCGCAAATTTAATTGGAGACCCAGAATCTTTTGGATACCAGTCGTGCCTTGCATTCTATCATTCCTCAGACTTCTGCAGGTGCAGCTGTGAAGAAGTCCATGCCACTGCACCTACGGACATTCAATAGAAGCTAAATGCATTTAAATTCCTCGTGTGATGATAGAAATTTGTGGGACGCGTAGTTCACCTTTGGTCCCACCAGCCCCTCTCCAGGAGGCCCTCTTGGTCCAGTCATCCCCCTCGGACCGTGTTCACCCTGAAATGTCACGGTGAATATTTGTTAACCTTGCCCAATAAAGACCTCAAAGCAATGGCACACACCGTTGGGAGAGTTGACAGGGAGTACAATGTTTTTTCCATTGCCAGTGTCGTCATCATCATAAAAAAAACATTATCATGATAAAGCGTATACAACACAAGCAACTAAAATAATTTAAAGTTAGTATAAATACAAAATGCCTCAGTGTGTTATCATGGTGGCCCGTTTGTGTGTGGGAAGTTTAACCTTTCACGGGCTATGGGAACACTTATGACAATTTTCCCACCAATGACCATGAACCCCATTATTTGGAGCTGGGCTCTTAAGCAACAACAGATGCGGCATCATATTCAGCCACCAGCAGATTCAGATACGCTTCACATAATAGTGACTGATCTGAAAGAATACGTGTTGATTTATGTGAAGCAAAATCATTCTTAATTACTCTTATGATATTCACACATGGAGAAAATCACTTTTGATATTTGGTACTTTGAATGTTCAATGTAAAACAGACAACGAGCTTTGTTGCAATAGAGTTGGGTGCACTCAAAAGGTGTGTCGGGGTTCCAGCGGAAAAAAAACCTTCATTGGATTCCCAGTGCCACCTTCAAACTGTGCCATTTTGACCCAAAGTTTATCCCATGGGATTGCTTGTGGCCACACATTTAATTGATTTATCTAAAACATGGTCCTATTAGTGTATAACTGTAAACGTAACGAGTCATTTAATTCCAAACTGCAAATATCTGTAATACACATTTGCGTTTGCCTGACGTATTAGCGTATGCTCAGCAGAGGGCAGCAAATGTCTTTTGTTAACGGGTGCAGACGCATTTGTGAATTCACACCATGAAAATACGAGATGAGGCGTAAACCGATGCTCCAAACAAAAAATAACATATGGGGATTGGAGATTTTTTGTTTATACCTGATGAATAAATCGTAGAGTTCTTGGCAAACAGAATAAAGATGTAGGCGCACTGCCAGTCATGAGATGATGAAAATAAATTATCTCCTGGAAAACTCTTGCTGCATGACAACTTCTCAAATAAATAAAATATATTAACTGTTTTATCTAGCTGCTGTTCGTTCACACCGACATTGCCATCTGCTCAGCTCACTTTAATTATGCGCAATGCAATTTGACATGTTCCAAAATTATGATAAGTGATGGTAATACATTATTCTTGAAGTAAAAAGGCACACTAAACTACCTGTGAAACTATGTTTTATTTCATAAGATAAGGTCTGCTGAGCTATATAGCTCTTTTTCAGAACCGACCTGGCCAGGAATGATAGCTCAACGAAGTGGCTTATCACGTGGCAATCTAGCGCAGGCAAATCCTCTAAACGGGTGTTTCTCAAATACTCCAAACGCATGTTTCTGAATGTGGAGGGGTAAACCGGAGAACCTGGAGAAAGAATCCACACAACCAGGGATAAAGAGACATGCAAACTCCATATATACAGAAGTCGTGATCGAACCCATAACTTCCTTTATACCAGGCGAGGTAGTTAACATCTCACAATTGCTTGTTCGTGCCAATACTGGTGGAAGGGCCATCACTAGAGGGAGTTCTAGAGAGCTCCTTTTGGCGACATTTTTCCTACTCTTCCACCCTGGCCAGACGACTTGGAGGAGGTGGGGATAACCATATTTGACCTCACCACAAGCAACTAACCGAATGACTTGCAGATTTAGTTTGTGCTTATCAGCACATGTGGGGAACATACATGCAAGCAGAGATGTGATCGGTGTGGAGAATCAAACTCCAGGGGTATTCAGTTTTCTGAACTACTAATTCATACATCTCGATAAACATACCACTGATTTATTTTAAAAGGGGTTTTTGTTGTCATTTTAAACGTTAGTCAGTGGGCCGAGTATAGACCCCATATAAAGTGCGCAAGGTGAAACGATTGAATAAAGAAATATTGTTTGTGGGCTGATGTGGGTAGAGTCAAAAGATTGTATTACCTTCTCCCCTTGAATGCCGACCCCAGGAAGGCCGAGTGGACCAGGCAGGCCAAGTAATCCAATATCTCCCTGTTAAAATGAAAATGTAACAAAAAACAATAATCTTACAATAAGGAACAACATTTACACAACCCAATCTCAACCACACGATGTGGAGTATGTTGTTGATGTTAACCACTTAGCAAGCACAAAACAAGCTCTGATGTAAAAAAAAATTTACTTCTTTTTTACTGACCTTGTCTCCTTTGACTCCACTGCCTTGTAAACCACGAGCTCCTCTTGGCCCATCAAACCCTCGGTCACCCTGATATAGAAATACAGTGGTTTGGCATTATTCGCGATACCAGGTTACATCATAGAAAGGAGTCCACGCCTTTAGAGGGCCTTCGGTACAGGTTTAGGCCTCCCACTATCTGCATTGGATTAAACAGTCCATCAGGGCCCAAATATAAAAAAACTAGAGTATGCATCTGTCTATGAGCCAATGCGATATGAAATATTGTTCTGGCATCAGGCCAAGTTTATCCTGAATTCAGGGTGAGTATTGCTACATTCTTGAATGTCAAATTTACTGGCAATTAATAGCAAAATGCCAAAACGAATAAAGAAATAACAACCAACTACAGAAATCTCAACCACTGGTTACAACTTGAAATTCAATTTTGGTAAACAACTATAGCATGAGATAGAAAAACCCCTCTATATGATAAACCTCTGTATAATATTTCTAGGCAGCCTGGGGCACAATGATGTTTTCCATGCGATGAAGTTAAGGGCAGCTGCCCGAATAATGCCTCCAGTCTGCACAAATCTGTCGCTGCAAAAAAGCAAAGCAACCAATTCGCATTCTGAAAGCAAGTCAAGCACATTTATTGAACAAAGCAATGAAACTTTGATTAAAGACTGGATCTGCACTTACCTTTGGTCCAGGAAGGCCTTCCCCGGGTAACCCTCGTTCACCAGATGGCCCCGAAGGACCTTGAGGGCCCTGCAAACAATCCCCTCCTGCTTATATCTATGCACAATGTAGGCATGCAATGTTTTTATTTTATTTACAATTGTTTATGTATCGGCCAAAATATTTTGCTTGGTGATACTATCACAGTAGAGTACATCATGTAAAACACAACTAGCGTTCCTTACTTCTTCTATTATGCAGAATTACTACCTCTTCATGTCATAATTTAATACGGTATAATATTTCGCGTAACTCTTTTTAATCGTTTGAGTTCAATGCTTATAAAATGTGAGGTAATTGCGTGTTGGTGAATGGCATACAATTTTTGTTTTAATACATGTAAGGCAGTTATGTGGGTTTTTTTTATTCCACGTAAAAAAGCAAAGACTAAAGTGGCATTGCATTACGGTACTGAATTCTAAACATGGCTTCAAAACGCAGTAAATGTATCTCAAAATGTTATTCTCCTTTTAAATATCATGCACAGTCTGTTCTCTTATAACGCAGTAGTTGTGTTCCTGAAGAACACCGCATTATGGAAAACTCGCGTTATAATAAATAACATAGGGGGGGTAAAGCACAGTCAGCGATAATACGTGAGATGTGTACTGTAGGCTGAACAAACACTGAGGCGTGTGTGGGTAGCATCTAGAAGCATCCAGCAGCATCCCGCCACGTGTGATGCTACGCCGAGGCAGTCGCGCGACGTACTTCTGTTCACTCGATCGCGTTATATCCAATTTGCATCCGCGTTGTAAAAAAAAAAGTGTTCCCTAATAACACTCATCGCGCTATATCCAATTCCCGTTCCGGAAACACGCGTTATCGGAGAACAGACTGCACAAAGTTCCAAAGTCGCTCTGCCGTGCCAGGCTTATAAGTGTAAAACAAGAGCGGCGTAGTACAGCAAGTCCCAGTTCGCATCATGTTAGGCCAGCGAGGCGAAGTGGTCAGTGAGTGAGTGCGTGGCTTACGGGAAGCCCAGGTTCTCCTACTCCAGGTGGCCCCGCAGGACCAGCCCTGCCCGGTGGGCCGAGGTCACCCTGTCCAGAATGGAGAGGCATGTACAGGGAAGGAGACAAAGAGGGGTTCGTGTCAGTACACCTTCAAAACATCGCATCTAAAACGAATTCCAGTGAAATGTTGTTCTGACCTCAATTGCGCCTGCTCGAATACTGCATTGTAACAACAAAAAAAGGGGAGAATGCTTTGCTTGAAATGATCCTCACAGCGGTATGCGAAGGCTTGGTCTGGAAACTAACGCCACAAAGCACACCTGTGTGCACTTTAGGTTTCGTACGTGGACGCGCAAGAGTGCCTGATGTGGCAGGTTGGCAGGCCTTTGGGACAAACTTAAACCATTAACTTTACCTTTCAAAGTTACTTTCGAACACAAGCGGCCGCAAAAACAAACACCCGTCCAATGTTGTGTTTGGGTGCTTACGACAGCAGGGGGCAGCAGAGTGACACTCAGTGGGGATGAATGGCCACGGTCATGCTTGTCTGTTAAGCCATTGGCTGAGGGCACTAATAGTGGACACTGTGGGCACATTTGGCTGACATTTAATTTGATGGTGATCTCAGACAAGGGGACTACAATGCACTTCCTCGGGAAAATCCAATGCTCAGAGGCCGAGTAAGTTTTACACATATTTCTGACACTTTTTTTTCCCAGCCTCCCCTATTACTCTGTCATGATGGATTTTGCTCATCATTTATAGACTAGCCTTTTGCGCGTCCAAGGACGGGTGTATTTCAGTAAATCTGAAACTTGCAAGCGAAAAGCAGACCGTGACGTGATATGCATTGCATCAATTCGTGTGCAATTTATTAAGCCGCGGTGACACAGACCTATTTCATTTTAAGGTTATAATCCCTTGTTCATCACGACGTCCTTTTTACTTCTATGTCTCAATAGGGTTACGGGGACCGCGTGACGTGAGGGTTCTGCCTGTGACGTGAGGGTTGTCAGTTGACGCTGAGGAGGGGGGGAGGAGGCGCCTCGCCCCTCCCCCATGTGGAGTGACGTCACCAGCTAATTAATATTAATAGCGAGAGGGGGGGTGTTCATTTGGAAGACGTCACCTCTTCATGATTATTCTCTTCATGATTATTAATGTACGGGGTTGTTCGATGTGGAGTGACGTCACCTGCTCATGATTTTTAATGAGGGGGGGAGGGGGTGCTACATGTGGAGTGACGTCACCCGCTCATTAGTATTAATGAGGGGGGCTGGCCGACGTGGAGTGACGTCACGCGCAGGACACAGACATTCTTGGCTCATAATCGTAGTAAAATTTGATACTTACGGCCATTGCATTGGTAGCCAATTTCTTTTATTTGTATTGACAGTTAAATTCCGTATGATGACAAATCTAATAATTATGATTCTGGTTGCCATCTCATCATCTTGCAATGCATCATTACATTTAATCGCTCTATCTCTGAGGTGGACATCCTGTCGAACGTACCAGTCCACCGACCATCATCCATCAACCATTCTAGCGAAAAGTCCTGCCCAAGGCCACTTATATTTATTCACAGTCAATATATGTTGAACTTGCTGTTCCCTGATCCGTGTGTTTCTCATTCTGTCTCTCAGTGTTATTCCAGGCATGCACCTCTCAGCGCTTCTTCGTAAACGCTGAAAGTTTTTGTTCCGCTGTGAATTTATCAAGCTGTGCTTAGTATTTGTTTTACTTGTGAGGGTCAGCATCCCACTTCCATGCAGACAAGAGGAAGGAGTCACTCAACGTAACAGTTGTAATTATGATAAATAGAGAACAAATTATCATGATTATAGATTTAGGTAAATTCCCAGTAAAAATTGCTTATTTTACAATTTCCAATTACATACACGACAGTTCCGCAAATAAATACATTTGCTAAAATGTTCCAGTTGTTTACATAAACATTTTTGAATACCCCTGGTGTCTGCATCATCGCAATTGTGTATATGAACTGATAATTATGATGTTTGGAGTTTAAATCGAAGAACATCGCTCATATGTTCAGGGGATTAATGTATGATAGTGAATGAACATGAATGTGGAAACTGTGCATATGCTGAACGTGAAATGTTTAAGAATAATTATGATGATGCATAAGGAAATAAAAAGCAGAAAAATTAATGTATGCTGCATTGTACATCACACAGGTACAGTAATGGAAGTCCTGAGCATTAATGCCAACCATATAAGCCGTATCATCGTTCTATTTTATTAACATCAGAATTTTGTCAGAATTTAGTTTAGCCTGGACAGCATCTGCCAAGTGGCTTGAGCAAGGTAACAGTTTGTCCGTGAGCACACTGTACCTTGGGGCCATGAAGCCCAATCCCAGTTTCCCCTTGAAGGCCTGGAGGACCAACAGGGCCACGGTCACCCTGCAAAACACACGCGGCTCACGTTACAGAGCGCTCAAGCTTGCAGTGATGCCAGTGACACTCACGGGACATAATGAACTGATGAGCAAGCTTTGCTCCAATCTTCCCCTTTCTACGTTCATTGTCCGTGGCCTCGGTGTGGAACCACTTCTTTAGACACCCCCCCTCCCACCATCTAGGATGATTGTTGCTCCACAGAGGGTGAGTGTTCTTTGACGTCAAGGCATGGCAACAGAAATGGCACACGATGTCAGATGCACCGGGGTTGCTTCTGCAAAGGCAAATCTCACGAACGTCGGGTGAGCGCAGGTCACACTTTATGGCGTGGTCCCAGCACATAGAGACCAACACCTGTTATCTGGTATTAACATTCCACTCAGGCTTCGTGTCAACCTGACTTGATGACCAGGGGCACCTCGCACCTGTAGGAGACGGACCAGAGGGTGAATTGCTGAGCGATGTTAACCTTTGTCTGGTGTGAGAGGGTGACAAGGGGTAAGCAGACAGCGGGGACGATCCCGAAGCCGCTCGCTCTGTACTGTGGATTTTAACCGTGGTAATTGTATATCAGACTCTTAACACGTGAAAATAATAGACAACTCGTGGGCATGCACGATGTAAACGTGTATTCCTTAACATTTGTGAGCAGCACTTATTGTGTGTTATTGTATTGAGGAAAGAAGCTGTTGCGTTGAGAGTGCCTCCTCGCTGGCCCAAAGAAAGCCTGTCATAACAAGCCGAGCCCTTTTCAGCTTTTTTCCTGCCACGTTACACCAATATATCCAAGCATATTCAGTGCACACGTGTTATTCTAGTTAGATTCTCGTTGATTGAAGATAAATGCTGCTGTTATCAATTCAATGTGCACACTCCTTCATGAGATACGTAAATGTTTGATGTCAATATTTTTTTTATGTCAAAAGCTGCACGCTGTGAACTTCGTTTATATGAGCACCGGGCTCCACAAGCAGAACGGGTAATTTTTTTTTTAAATTGCAGCCACAATTAGCGAGCTTATTTGGCCACGATAAGGGAAAACAACTGCACGCGGCTATGAATGGTTTTGTTGATTCTATTCACACCCTCCGGCAAGAAAACAAGACATCGCCTCCAAACGATGTTGACCTAATTGCTGATCTCCTCACAGAGCTATAAAATGCGAGTCAAGGCAGAGACTCAGGCCAATGAACTGTGGACCTGCAGGTGAACACCTCACATTCAGCTGCACAGAAATGTCAGGAAAACCAGTTTTTCTTATTTTTAAATTATTATTTTGCGTGCAAATTCTGTCCCACCCACACAAAACATACCCACTTCAAACTACATGCAAAAGATCCTCGACTCGGATAAGATTTAACTGTTGTCTACATTCTACTCTTTCTAAATTACTTCGAATATTTCAATGAGTGATAGCTCATTTGAAAGGTAGTTGTGCAATTAAAAACATATCCGGACATTTTACACTTGCAACTTACAAATGACCCTTAAATCACATCAAGATATAAAAATAGCGGATTAACATAACATCAATTTGAATTGGTATGATGATTAGTTTGATTTAAATAAACCAAAAGTAATATTGGCAATATATTCCACGTGGTTAGAATAGTCATGTCAGTAAAGTATAATCAAACTAAATGATATGATTATTATTTAAATTCCTCTGCCCATTCCATATCAGTCATGGTAGTTGTTTAACCATATTTTACCATGCTGATGAGTGCTGGTTGGTGAAAGGAGGCCCAGGACTGTTTCGTATGTCACTTGGCGCTGATGTTAGCAGTGGCTGGGAATCAAAGTTGCAGTGTCCTCACCACACTGACCTTGTATGCATGGATATGTGCATGCAATGCAATTGCTTTATTTCATTCAATTTAGGAGTTACAGCCATATGTTCTGTGTATGCCCCGTATGGTTAATTTATTAACGTTTAACTCAATACGTATTATAATGTAATATAGGATCATTTAACGGTGTCAGGAGAAACCCAGGAGAAGAATATTTTGCGAACGCACCATTCGAACATGTTTCATCTGGCTGAGGTCACTGAACAATTTACTGTAATATATGAATCAGCAATTAAGACACCTGCCAGCGCGCATTCCTCAATACAATCTAACATAACGTGGCTATGCTGTTTAGTGCAGCGCTACGGATCATTTGTGGGACAGGACTTGGTGTTTTTTGACAACAGGTGCGTGTGCAGAAAAATATAAGTGGACTTAATTCACGAGATCGTGGCTGTTAAACTGAACGAAAGGAAAATTAATATAAAGCACGTATTTGTTTGGATAATCTCTGCCAGATTAGCACTGATAGTTGACAGCCCTGTGTCAATCCTAATGAGACATCTCTATAAATTCAGCCTCCAGCAGTGAACGTATGTGCACCATTCTTCAAAGAAATCCTCAAAATGCCTTTTTAGTTTCACAATTTAAGGTCAAATTCCGATGAAACATTCACGTTTTTTGTTAAGTAAAAAACAAACTTGCTCTGAATAACATTCTTGGTTGAAGAATGTTCTTTGATATAGTTTTTAGAATGTATTTCTGAATTATATTTTAAGCAAAGTGAAATTAAAACTATTTGTTACCATAAGTAACATTTCAACATACTTATTGTACGTATGTGTGCTTTTCTGTGATACCATCTTCCTGGAGCTGTTTTCTGGCACAGGGCAGTGCACCACTCACTGTTAGAGTTATTTACCGAAATTTCCACATTAAATCATTCGTACATTTGGTATTTGCGCCATTCTTACAGCACAACGCTATCGCACAGGCACATTTTTTTTCACACGCAATTATAGTGTCCAGTAGTTTCACAGTTAAGAAGCTGACGTTGCTTGGGTATAATTACCCAATTAGGCCATTTGTAATTTTCAAATTTGGCAAATTTTGAGCGACAGGCCGGGCAGCACACATGCCCAACTCTTTTTCGAATGTCGCATGATCTTTAGCATCCGCTGTGCAGTAGAAGGTGCGTACGAATGTTCAATGCACCAGCAGTATTAACCAGGGTGGCCACTGGGCTTGAACAACGAACCTCTGCAGCAAGCGACAAGTAGCAAGGATTTGAATATAGTTGCGAGCAGTAAAACAAAACAAAAAAATGAAATTAAGAGAATGCATACAGTTTTGAAGAGGGCACAATTGTAATTCAGAATTAGGACACAGCGTGATATGCTGTATCAACTATCCATAGCCAGGGGAAAGACATAATTTGGCTGCTCACAACTGCCTCCCTCGCTGGACATATCACAGGACATCTGTACAACAGAACAAAATGTGATCACGAACGGAGGGGGGGGTGCATTACGCCCGGTAAAGGTATGTTGGCCATGTAATTATAGTGCAGACAAGCAGGCAAAACAATTCCTAAGGGGTTACATTTGATGTCGATGGCTGATCGCTCCCGATGCCCCTCGTGTTTGCATTTCACGGGGAAGTAAAAAAAAAGCCTCATTGCTGCAAGAACAACAAGAACAACAACAATGATGCTCTACAAATGTTTTCAACTGAACAGTCTGCAATCGGCACCGTGCTGTCGGCTTGGACTGAGCTGTACCTCACCGACACATCGGTGGGCTGCGATCAAATCTTTAAAAAAAAACCGGTGACTTGCACTTAAAATCCTTGTCTTACATCGTATCAACATCAGCGCGCTGACCTGCTGTAAGGCTTTTACACAAGTTCAACTTAACACTGTTACATGACCCGGCTATCAAAGTCGTCTCACCTCTTGGGTTATCAGTGCTGCATCAGGTTTTGTAAAAAAAAAAAATTCTCTCCTGCATGCAGGCGAACACGCGCACACAAAAGCAAGCGGTGCCTTTTTTTTTCGCCTCGGGGCAACTTCGGGCGATGAATGTAGCTAAAGTAGCGAGTGCCACAGTGGCAGGTGAAAGTTACTGTCTAGACAGCGCCCCACAGAGACAAGAATTAGCCCCGGGAAGGCAATGCGGGAGGGACTTCATTGATAGGTGGCAGCCAACAGCATGGCCAGCATACTCTTTGGTTCTATTCGGTAAAGTCACGTAGGTAAAAAATAAAACAACAAAAATCACGACGTTACGGCCACAACACAAGTGGCCTTCATCAGGTGAAGGGACCAGACTGTCTCGAGGACAGCGCTGGAGTGAGCATGGCCAGCCCAATACGTAGACACGGGCGCTTCAGCAGAGACTACCTTTGCCATCATGGCCAAAGCGTTTAGCCGATGTTAATGCGCCATAAAGAGGGGTGATCCAATCTGTTGGCCAAACCTGTAGCCACCGGGGTACTTCAGAGGGAATGATTGCCCATTAAGAGGACAATTACCTAACATTCTTTGTTTAAAGATTGTTTTTGCCGATAATTGATTATCCGGATATTGCCTGCAAACCTTTTTACGATATAATCGCCAGCCATGTTCTGGTCTATTATAGTGTGCCAAGATGTGTGCTTGACTAGCAGTTTAGAAAGAAAAAAACATCATGACAACGTGTTTGACAGTCTTTTATCTGCGAATGCAGAAGGTGGTAGTAAAACTTCCTCCATATCTGTTCACTCAAATGGCTCCTCTGACTCGTTCCCATGCTCTCGGTTCAGATGTTGCTCCCACTCAAGTTTGGCTATGGTACCAGAGCCATCTCCTACCAAGCATGACTTGATTTTAATCAGTCAGATCCCAATATCAGACCGATACAATCAGTTAATATCCTTAGAGACCAGTTACACATATAATGTTCGTGTAAGATTCGAGAGCTATCTATTGTGGTACATTATGTATGTGCACAATTAATTTAAAATATTATTTTAGATTTCATACAATGATACGTCTTTTTAAAATTAACATTTAATTTTAATATATTGTAGTTACAATGTATAAAAGCACCCTGGTTATGCAATATTCATGGACTAATGCAGCTTTTGTGAAACTTTATGTGTAGCTAATGTTTCTCTGCCATCCCGTCAGGAGCCATATGTCAATGAGATGGGAATCTCAAGGGTTTAAATGTCAAGGGGTTTCCCTGTTTAAATACAGGAAAGCTTGCTGAAGAAGGGAAATCCATTAACTACTTATGAGGTAGTTTTATTTACTACGTTTTAATTTATGAGGCTGATGAATAATGAACAAATCTATTAAATTATTCAATATGATACTGCAGTACAGTATCTGTTAAATGTATTCGTAGCCACGTATACAAAAGTGTATATGGGGTACCAGTAATGTAAAAAATGCCTCTAAGCAGTAAATTGCATTTGTATATACTTTAACCACATCTCTAGTTTGACAAGGCTGCAGGCCCATAATCATACTCCAGCGCTGTCCTCCAGATAGTCTCGTCCCTTCACCTGATGAAGGCCGCTTGTGTTGTGGCCGAAACGTCGTGAGAATATTATTACGTTATTTTATTTTATCAATTTATTATTTTATTCTCATTCTACGTGACTTTACCGAAAGAACCAAAGAAGAAGTTAAGTAATGTAAAAAAGCCAGATCTTTGACTTTACTGGAATAATAAAATGTGTTTTGCCTTAAAAAGGCTTACTCATGTTAATACAACACTCACTGGCGGTCTTGCTCCTGAAAGATACCACATTCGTGGCATGTAAAGCAAGATATATATAAATAAGCGTGCAATATTTAATTATTTTTTACAAATAAGTCTATTCACTGCCCCTGGCTGTAGATTATCTTCCTGCACCAAACACCCTGCCAGGATATTTATTAATGAAGTCCCACATTTTAGTTCTGTGTCAGAATGTCAACTTTGACAAAAAAAAAAGAGGGAATGAGCCTCAAATGTTTTTTTCATACTCTATGAAGTTTCATCTCTAGCCCAGTTTTTCCTGTTCTCCGCATGATTTTTCCATAAACCTTTAGATAGAAAGGACACAGTGCCCAAAAATGAAGCAACATACCATGGAAGTCACACACAACACGAAGTCAGTGCCTCGAACAAAGAAAACATCAACACTGCACAATCTGTTCCTTCAACATTGCAGGATAATGTACACTTTGACATGTTTATGACCAACGTGGATATTCATATGCTTCATTTCCACAGGCAGGCCTATTTAATATAGTTGCACAGTATATCACGCCAAGTTGTATCATATGTTGCATTCTGGTAGTAATTGTGGAATTTTATTTGAAGACATTAAGTTAAATCGTGAATGTAATATGAAATATACAACCACCTGCAGCATGCATCTGTATGTCGTTTTAATGAATCGCTTTTGGTCGTATGTACACATATTGAAAACAAATGTAGACAGCTCGATTAAACAACAATAAATCAGTTGTCTCAATGGATCTTATGAGATGCCCTGTTGGAGATTTGCCCAGGTAGGATTTATTGCAATCATTCATTCTCTTTCTGGGATTATTAGAAAAATGTGTAGGTGGCTGGTTTTAATCTACGCTATGTTAAAGGCATAAATCAGTTCAAAGTACCAAAGAATGCACATTTCTCATAAAATATCAGGGGATAGTATTTCACTTGGTTGCCTTAGACGCTCATTGGGGGGGTATGGGATAGGTGAATAGTTTAATTGCTTTTTAATCAAACACATAATGGGGTCTTTGAAATTGTGGAGGCAGCATGAGGAACATGCTGCTCTCTTAATCCTGGCCATATCCCAGGTCATCGGTGTCTTAGTCTCTGACTGGAATTCGAGAATTGTCTCACAAGAGGTCCTGCACTTTAGTTGAATACAACCATTTGTGGAGAAATCAAGAGTAAAATGTAGCCCAGACGTTACAGCAAAAGGAGCCACACACTACTCACGTTCATCGCGCATCACAACGGATGCATTGTGTTCGCGTTTTCCTATCTTATTAATTTAATATACACATAATAATCGCGCAGTGTTAACAAATGTCCCACCTTTGGTCCTTGGATGCCCTCAATGCCTTGCTCTCCCGTTGGCCCAGGAGGACCCTGCATTACACCAGAGAAAGAAACACGTCCAGGTCTTGATTTCAAACCGTGCCGAGTCCGTGGCACCATCACCACACCACAGGCTGAAGACGAGGAAGAGTCTACAGCAAGAACATCTCAAATAAAAATGTGAAATTACCAAGACATCATGTTAAATTAGCACCAGATTATATCTTTTCATCAGAAAATCGTTTCATAAACCAGAAGCATTTAAAAAATGTAATAACATTCGCCTAGTACAAACTGTTTTGTATCTTACCAACCATGCTATTCCAATTTTATTATTGGCATTATACTTAATAATAACCCTTTTTGTTAACAAAAATCACACTTTTAGTAATTTGATTGCAACAGTTAAATGTTTTAATTGCAACAGTTAATTACCTTTTGAATTACCGTATCTATTGGACATTAAGCTGGATAGTTATTTCTTCAGTGCGGTATTCTCAACTCTTTTTTGGTAATCTTGAGTAAACCATCGACCAGGACTATCGGTTTTTATTAATACGTTCTCTGTCTTCATTTATCTCACAACAACCGCCACTAAGTAGCGACGACGTCACCATGGCGCTTGTGCCATGCTAGGTGAAATTTGAGGCCACGTGAAGCGTCGAAGACCCACTGGCAGGAATTCACGGAACAGACCCAGCTGCCATGGGTTGACTGATTGAGATGCCTGGCAGATGCACCAACTGTACTCCCCACAGTGACAACTTTCTGCGTTTTAGCCCCCTGGAGCTTCGTTGTTGTGAGCGTCGCTCCTCTTCCCACCATTGTTGCTGGAGGGCGACTGCCTTCAATTCCCCAGCAGTGCCCTTCACGAACCTACTCCACAGAGGCTGATCTTGACACTGCTGATGCCAGTCATCTCCAAGTCCAATCGGCTGCACATCCTTCTGTACCACATCGGTCCATCTCTTCCCTAGCTCATGCTGTGGCCATTTATCCGTCCAAACAAAACCTGCTTGGCCATGTGGTGACTGGGCTTGCGGGATACATGACTCAGCCAACACAGCCTCGCTTGCTGGAGGAGTTCACTGATGGGACTGTGTCCCGATGTGAACTCCTCACACAATCCAGCCTGGTTCAACCCAGTGTGGATTGTAAGCAGGCTAGCCCGAATGTTTAAAACCAGTGCAGATGTTCCTTTATAGGGCTCCATGTATCGCAAGCATAGAGAAGGGAGAGCATAACCGTGGCAAAGAAGATCCAGAGCCGTATATGTGGCGACAGGCGAGGTAGCTTCCACACAGTGTTACGCAGCTGATGAAAAGATAATGCCTCTTGACAGATTTGGAGTGTGACCTCGGCTGCCAAACTAGAGCTGATCATTAGCACATTGCCCAAGCACAGAAACTTCTCCACTCTTTCCACAACTGCCCCATCACTCATGGGGAGCTGAGGGAGGAAAGCATTTGATGACATAAAATACCCAGGCAGGTGCTGTATTTTTGTGGGGCTGATGGTAAGGCCCCATCTCTTAGCAGGATGCTCCAGGTTCTGCAGTAGCATCTCCAACTCATTCTCAGAGTGTGCAGCAATCACCAGATCATCCGCGTAATATGGTTGACCAATAGGCAGCCAACCCTTGACCGCACTCGGGAATCGGTCAGCCTCCCATTGTACCGACACCAGATGGAAACTCCACCGGTGTCTAACACCACTCTATGAACGTGCATTTGTGAACAATCATCGTGAGCACCACTTCTTCTTCATAAAGTTTTGTTATGCTCAGTCCATTGCATGGGTTTGGCGCTAAAACACATTTAACCGATTATCCTCGATTCCACAGCCAGTCACAGCAGGTTCCATGAAGGGCAGCTATTGAGGGACAGGCACTAATGACAACATCAAAGCATCCTGACAGAAATGATTAGCAAATTTATCCCACTCACAAATGGAGAAAGATTCACAATGCATGGTAGTTATTTTTTTCTATCCTGGGGCATATGCATATAAAATAAAGTGGCCAATGTATCAGTTGAAAGGTATTACTAAAGCCATACTCAATATATATAAGATCTCTTGGCTATAATTATGTATTTACAAAACGTGGTCTACTGCGTTACCCTATCCATACCTGCTGAAACATTAACGTTATTTCATAAAATATAAATGATGGAGCCCTGCAAATACATGCCCGCGACACTAGAGTGCCCCTCTCGATGGCATTTTGGCCTACTCTTCCACACTAGCCAGACGTCTTTGAAGAGCTAGGAGTACCACATTTCACCCCACCACACGTGACCTGCCGATCGACTGACTGTGGTGTTCCAATTTAAACTACTGATTGGACAGAGGTGAGAGGATTTAGGAAACTGCCCCAATGTTTCAACTGTGGCGCTGGGAGATGGAACCACTGCCTCTGGATTGCAAGTCCGGTGTGCCAACAATAACACCATGGCGGCATTCTTTCGTATTGAATTAATTTTTTTAAAAAAATCTTGGTTTCCATTGCACATAATTGCATTTGATGCTACGGTGTCACCCCAATGGGAGACAGGATGAATTGCTGCTATACTGCGCTTGTCAGAGGGAAATGAATCGACTCAAGACGTAAGGAAGGGGACCTCTGACCAAATCCTTTGCGGTCACTCCTGGAAAGTGACCCCCACCCCCCTCGCTGATTGTGCTAAGACACGGGGGAGACAACGTCATAGCCCCCCACACACTGACCTGGGGACCTCTCATCCCTCTGGGCCCAGCTGGGCCCTCTGGACCCTGTAAATAGTGGAGAGCAAAGAAATGCATCTGTTACAACAACAATAACGTCAACAACAGTTTGATTTTCTTACCATGGTTTGTTATAGCTCATGTCAGCCTGAAATGTAAATACTGCACTGTGAGGTTTTAATCTTCAGTGTATGAGACGCAGATCTGTTGTGTCCTCATACGAATTCAACAGTTTTAGATACCCAGCTGTCTGCTTTTAAAAATAAATTAAGTCCATCGGCATATTGGCTTTGCAAACCAAAATTATTCACCAGTATTTGATAAGCAAGATAACTCTGCAGCAGTTTAAACCTTGTCGGTCGCAACGAATGCTGCTGGATAACATTGGTCTATAAAGCCAATAGGTCAAGGGACTTTTAAAAAACGTGGAGACAGAAGAAAGTTGTGTTAACATATGATTTTACCCATAATGCTCCTCAGTAACGTATCATGAGTTTTAATACATCGCTTTAAAATCAGCCCTTATGAGGGCAAATTGTGTCCATGTCTCCCATACTAAAGAATGCCGTGAAGCATTCCTAAAGACCAATTGTACGATTAGCACGGTTGGCTATGTATGATGCAAAAGAAGCTTAACATACACACAGTACATTGAGCAGTACATATCATTGAGCAAACATTAACATACAATTTCTACTTTTTTAATCAACCTCACCGTAAAAAACATGAAAATAATTGTAAATGTTAGTGTCAACTTTATAAAGAAAAATATAAGCTTGCAAAACTTTGTTTGTGAGGTGGTCTTTATAAACGAGCCATTTAAGCTACCAACATATTGCTTTTTGAGCGTGTGACCTTTATTTGCGGGACATCTTTAGAACACAAAATTGTGCTCTGCCAGAAACAAACAAAAAAAACCTCTTTATTCATCAACTTTGCTTTTGCCACATTTTTTCCGAGGAAGGTCGCGCCGAGGTCATCACCAACACGATCATCGGACGCAAAAGAAGGGTGCACAATGAGATGGGGGGGGGGGGGCACTCACCCGATCGCCCTTGTCGCCAGGGGCCCCACACTCTCCCCGGTCACCCTGCTCTCCACACACGAACACGGACACACACACACACACACCAGGTGACACGCTTCACCCAATCAATCTTACCAACGATCACCCACGTGCAGGTGACCATCGTAAACTCGTTAACCCCTGAGATGACATTCCGAAGACGGTGAACTTTCCCTCCTAGGCCTCATCGCTTTTAATTGCCAGGAGTGAGCGTGCAATTGGCTTGTGGCTGTTTCGGCAGGAAAACGCGTAAACACTCTGAAATGCAATTTCGCACAAGACAGCCTATACCTCGAGGTTTTGGAGTATTATTTGAATATCAGAGTATCCGCACCTCCGACAGTCACGATTTGGCTACGTACGGTGGAAAGAGGTTCAACATACATACGTATGTTTAATGTGTATGTTTATTGCACACATTAATACATACGTACGCATGTTTAATGCGTATGCTTAATGTACACGTTAAACATGCTCTGGAATTCGAATCTGCTGTTTCTTCAAGTCAGTGTTTATTAAACATACTCCAAATTATTCAAATGCAATGTCATTTGAGCGTACTATATTTGAAAACATAGTAAAATCATTACTTGGACATATTTTATTCATTACGCTGATAGGATATTAGATTTCATGCAATAGATGCATTTATTAATCATGCATGGGCTGTTAAAGCACATCACGGAGTATGTTTGTGCAGTTTCTTCAGCATAGAGAAAGCATTTGCCCGTAGAAAACATCAATAGTCATGGCAAGAATACATCATCTTTAAACACGGTCAATAAAGACATTGACTGATCACGATGGCTGGTATGTTTAATAAACCTTCCAACACGCGGCATAGAGGTCAGAGGGCATGAACACTCAGAGCTGAATGGTTACTTGAAGTCAAGTGTATTGGTTTCATTTCATGGTCAATGCAATATTATGCAAGCGTGGGACATTAGTAGGCATGGCACGAACATTAAACGACAAAAAAAATCACGGGTTTTTTTCACGTTTGTTTTTTGTTGGGCGAGATTAAGCTTTGTGCACGAACACATTGACACGGGCAAACAACAGGACCATGCCCTGTTGCTTAGCATCCTGGGCTCTGTACTGGGAGTTGCACTGTACGAACGTGCAGAAATGAGTATCGCCGTTCCGTACACCGCACGGGCACGATCACGACGGCGCTTTGTGCAGACTGTGAATCGCTCCCGAGAAAGTTACGGAGTGTCATTTGTTTTCCTTGAACAAATCCGCAACACTGCCCGGTTCATGAGATGGGGTGATGTATTGTTGCAGCAACTCCGACAAAACAGACTTTGCAGTCGGCGAGAGTTGAGAATGCTCTTAACAAGCTCTCGTTAATTGTATTGCCTATTTAACCACGGAATCAATGTAATTAAGGAGGACACTGAAACAATATATACGTTCACATTTTTTTAAGGGAATGGTTGCTTGTAGGGATAATTTCATTGCCTTTTTTTAATGGCACAAAAAACTAAATTCATAATTTGGCTCACTCACAACACAGTGAAGACTACGAGTTTATTTTGTACGTTCAACTTCTTTCGCACCGTGCGTAGCCAACCGTGCTAATCGTAGGTGCACAATTTCATAGAAATAACATTTGAAAATATGTAAAAAAAAAACGTTTATATTTGTGTTCATAGCGTATGTTCAACATGACTATTCAGAGTATAAAACGGAAATATATTTTTGAAATATCAGAAACAAAAAGTACTGAAGAAGCAACTAAAGTCGTGACTTTACCTTATCGCCTTTGTATCCTGGTCTCCCCTGCAAAGAAATAGCACAGGTGAAACAAAACATTTAACTTCTATGTCAATTTTACTGCTGAATTAAAGCCTTCCAATGCTTATTCTTAGTTTTTAGGTCACGGGGGTTTGTTGAACCACATTTCACCACGCTGGTCAGTGTGAGTCCATCAAGGGTAAGGGCCCACGACTGGTTCAGTTAAAAATTATAATTTCTTATCTAAATTTTATCTGTATTTTTTTTGCATTGGGGATTGTTTTCTGAGCAACATCACTCTTCTCCACTGACTCTACCACGTGGTTCATCCGTGCAACTTTGTAGGAGAATAAGTTTGCTGCCTTTGATAGTTTTTGTGTGTGTGGATAATCATGTCACCAAAGTATGTGTGGTGGCTACAGTAGAGAGCAGATGACAACCACCTGCATTCCTCGAATGCCGGCTAAAACCCCAAAGTGTGGTGGGGGGGGGGGGACATATTATTATTATTATGAAGAGGTGTTAGCTTAACCCGTGGTGAAGATGCTTTTCAAAGTAGCAGATGATTATACGCTTTCACACAAATGAGCCCTTCCAAATGACCCTTAGCACACAGTGCGAGCGACCGTGTTTCCAGGAACTACTTTTTTCCCACCTGAACTCTTGTCTCCATCCCATTATTTACTATTTTATCGTCCAGGAGTTTAAACAATTTTAAACATTCTGTTTAATAAGAGCCACTTGGACACATTTGTAGGGTCAGTTCTTACCCATAACATAAGACTATTAAAATGGCTTCGTTCAAGAGTCTACGATGTTACGATGAGTCATGGTGAGGTCATATCTGGTAAAAGTTTATGACGTTTACATAATTTTTCTGGACAAAGCTTGATCTGTAAATCTCAATGGTTGATAAATTAACTGTTGGTTCCTTTGCCTTTATCATTTTGTTGTGAATACTATATTTTAAAGAGCAGTTTTGGGAATTTTTTTTATCCAGCATCAAAACACAAACATTTTTTTTAAAGTACAACAGAGTGGTGTGAGTAAGGGATAGAAAGCGTGTATTTTAGTGCATAAAACGTACGAATACATTACATTTCGAATGAGATGCCTTGCTCAATTAAGGGCGCTTTATTTGAATAAAACACATGTTGAAAATGGAGACGATGGTTCAAAATAATACACACACATCTTGTAATGGCTTTAAAAAATATTCCGCTTGTGTTGCGATCAAAACGTTGTGAGTTTTTGTGTTTATTTTTTATTTTATTCTATTATTTTCTATCTACGTGACTTTACCGAAAGAACCAAAGAATATGAATTCCTGCAGTCAATAAGGTTTTCTGTCAGCACAACATTTTGGCCCCAAATGAAGGTATTTAGGAGGCAGTGGAATGAGAAGAGGTAGATATATAATGAATATGTGGAATAAGTACATATTCTATAAGGAAACAACAGTGCTAAATTAATTACATACAAATAAAACGAGTTAGGCAGGTAGGTAGAAAATATAAAAAATATATATAAATTGCAGCAACAACAACAAATTATATATTGGTTCAAACTGATGGAAATATGTAAAATGCATTTATTAACATTATTATTACATTATAGACAGTCAGTTGAAGTTCCTTCTATTCGGAGGGAAGAGGAAATTAGACGAAGACACCCATTGCATTCTGCAGGGTTAAGGCTGCACTCATTGCTCTGCATCCAGTGTAACAGAGGCTGGTAATCGCACTCCAACATGCGATACATTCAATAATTGGAGTGAAGCAGCTTCTTACGCCTCCATGCCAGTAGAAAAGGGAGTCGGTCAGGTTAAGTTGTTTGTTGCCTTCGCTGATGAGTCAATGTTTATAGTAAATTAGAATTACCAAGAGAGGTGACCCTGATATGTGAACTTACTGCACCCACTTCATAAATGGCCCCAATTTGCCAAATTATGGAAATCTCAAAAAGTCCTTTGCTCAGCAATCGAGGAACAAGTCAAGGGTAATGATGCCTAGCTTGCACGTGTTCAAACATACCCCAACATTCACCACAAGCATTGTACTTTGCTCCATCCACTCAATACAACGTTGTTTTCTACATTGACAATTTTCAGCTTCTTTGGAAATGCTTCCAATTGGTAAGTGGGGTGAAAGGTCGCAACCTTTTAGGGTCATTACTGTATGTCTCTGACTGAATGCCCACCATTGCTTCGGGTGTAAAGTTGAAAATGTTATATTCTTTACAGCAATGCGGATAATTTTACAGCTAAGCTGTATACAATGTCACTTGCCTGGGGCTGCCTGGAATATTTAGAATTCTGAAATTGTAAGCAAGCTTAGAACTGCCACAAAATAGAGTTACAATAACAATCCCCGGATCTAATATGATATGGGGCTGCAATGTGAGCAGATCCAATTATCTGTGTTGTTATGCACGTAATTATCCTTTTATCCGAGTGATCAGGTACGACTAAACACAGATAAAAGGATTAATGTTGCATAAAATCCAGGCACTTCTCTTACCCGTGCAAAGGCTTGGATAATAGTGTTCCATGTGAGGACACTTCTGGGTGATTTGTTGCCACAAAGAATGGATGCATTTAACCAACATCTCTGGCTACTCCTCTTGTCCACGCAATAATCATAAGAACAATGTAGCACGTAGATGATGGGACGTTGCTGAGATCTCTAACGGTTTGTGGATAATAGGTGTGTGGATAATAGGACATTAAAAAATACATATATGTATGCCACTTTCTCAATAGATATGACATGAAGCACAAACATATCCACTGATACATATTTGGAGCAAACTCCACGTAAGAGTGTGGACGTTGGATATGCGGTATAACTTGAAGAGAAAAGAAACCCAAGGATTATGATGAACATGAGTCCATCACTTCATAAATAAATAGGAAAACTGAGTAATGTTGTGCAAAACATGCCACTGAAAGTTACAAAAAAAGTATAAACAAAACAATGGCAAAGTCACAGCCAAGACATAGAATTCTAGATTTGAAGCTTTCGTGACTGCAAAGATCCATACTCTTTGGTTCTATTCGGTAAAGTCACGTAGGTAAAAATAAAATAACAAAAAAATCACGACGTTTCGGCCACAACACAAGTGGCCTTCATCAGGTGAAGGGACTGGACTGTCCAGAGGACAGCGTTGGAGTGAAGACAGCATGCCCAGGTCGCGTCCTTTAAGCTGTGTGGGAGGAAACAAAAAAAACCCTTGACAAAGGAATTAGCATAACAATGATGTACTGGACCGGCACGGTGGGGGGGGGGGGGGGAGTTTACATAATGTTGGTGTGAAGGGAAATAAGCTGCTGTGAAAGTTTGGGATACCACTACTTGAATAAATATACTGTACCATTAAAAATTAGTTTGATATTTGGTTTGATTTAGAACATCTTTCCAATGATTGCTTAATTTGAAACCATCCTCTTGGTTGAAATTGTGTCTGTGTTTGTAAATCTGAATTGCCTCGTGGACAAATCTCTGATAAAAACCCGTGGGTTTGGATAGAACCTTGGTATCGGAGAAAACTATATCGTGATCACCCACAGCGTTGTAACAGTGATCAGCTACGGCAGTAGAATTCGTTCTGCCGTGTTTCAAATCTGATTTGTGCTCGCGAATTCGGTCAGAGACATGTCGTTTCGTCTCCCCGATATAGCAGTCACCACTGTGACAACGCTGTGGGTGATCACGATATAGTTTTCTCCGATACCAAGGTTCTCTGCAAACCCACGGGTTTTTATCAGAGATTTGTCCACGAGGTAATTCAGATTTACAAACACAGACACAATTTCAACCGAAAGGATGGTTTCAAATTAAGCAATCATTGGAAATATGTTCTAAATCAAACCAAACATTAAACTAATTTTCAATGGTACAGTATATTTATTCAAGTAGTGGTATCCCAAACTTTCACAGCAGCTTATTTCCCTTCACACCAACATTATGTAAACTCCCCCCACCCCCACCGTGCCGGTCCAGTACATCATTGTTATGCTAATTCCTTTGTCAAGGGTTTTTTTTGTTTCCTCCCACACAGCTTAAAGGACGTGACCTGGGCTTGGCTGTCTTCACTCCAACGCTGTCCTCTGGACAGTCCAGTCCCTTCACCTGATGAAGGCCACTTGTGTTGTGGCCGAAACGTCGTGATTTTCTGTTATTTTATTTTTACCTACGTGACTTTACCGAATAGAACCAAAGAGTAAAGACATAGAATGTGTGGAGATGATGATTAAGTGGAAGACAGAGCGAGGAGTCAGTGGATTTTTAACTGAATTAAAAGTTTGGCGACAAACCCTTGCTGCATTACTGGCAATACCCACGCGATATTCAAATACTTTATTGAAGAAAAAAAACTGCATCACTTGTGAATGCAACTGGCTGGCAAAATGTCTCCAGCATACATGGACCGACAGATGAAGCCCACACGATTAGTTGAGCAATTTCTCCTGAGTCCAGAGTCAAAACAACATACAGTACTCAGCTTCTCATTTCCCCTGGATGAATGAAATCAAATGATACACCGAAAATAGAAGCCACTGATTGATGGATTTTATTTGTCTATGCGGGTAAGAAACATTCAGCCTCAAAGCTGATTTATTTTTTATAAGTTAAAACCCACGGAGAATGTTGGTGAAAAAAAAAATTGCCAATATGTGTTTCGGTTAAAACAAAACAGGGCCATGGTGAAATTTCAACACGTGGGTGTGAGTAACTCATCCATAGAAGTTTTGGGCAAAACACCTGCTCGCTCAGCCATGATTACCACTGGCACCACTCACCTCCAAGCCACTGGCTCCTGGACTTCCATTAAGTCCTGCGTCTCCCTGTTAGAAACAAACATTCACGCTATTAGGCAAAAACCTGCAAATTCTGAGTTTAGGCCCAGTAGGCATGTGTGCAGTCACATATTGTGCGAACGCTACGCGGGTGAGGAAACAGAGGACTAGGCACGTGTGCAGTCACATATTGTGCGTACGCTACGCGGGTGAGGAAACAGAGGACTAGGCACGTGTGCAGTCACATATTGTGCGTACGCTACGCGGGTGAGGAAACAGAGGACTAGGCACGTGTGCAGTCACATATTGTGCGTACGCTACGCGGGTGAGGAAACAGAGGGCTAGGCACGTGTGCAGTCACATATTGTGCGTACGCTACGCGGGTGAGGAAACAGAGGACTAGGCACGTGTGCAGTCACATATTGTGCGAACGCTACGCGGGTGAGGAAACAGAGGGCTAGGCACGTGTGCAGTCACATATTGTGCGTACGCTACGCGGGTGAGGAAACAGAGGGCTAGGCACGTGTGCAGTCACATATTGTGCGTACGCTACGCGGGTGAGGAAACAGAGGACTAGGCACGTGTGCAGTCACATATTGTGCGAACGCTACGCGGGTGAGGAAACAGAGGGCTTAGGAGGCGGCCACCTACCTCCTTTCTTTTCTCTCATGCTGTCCATTCCTCCCAAACAGTTATGATAATCGAAGAAAGCCATGCACTGTTTTATTGTCAATTATTACCTCTCCTAGTGCTCCCTAGGCTGCTCAACACGGGCCACCATGGCTGCTTGCCCCCATGCCTTGCCAACTTCGATATCAATCCTATGCAGCCCTCCAATGTGGTTTTCAGGTCGTACCGCGTGTGCTTCGCTCTCAGCGCTTGGGAGCTTCTTTGGGAACTGAATTGAAGCTCCCAGTAATAAATTTGTTATGACTGACTCTGTGTGGTAGCGGTGAGTACTGTGTTGTGCTACCTTGCTCCCTTTAACGCCAGGTATTCCATCTTCACCGGCAGCACCTGGCTTGCCCTGTAGAAAAAGAGATAATGCAGGATAATAATAATAATAATAATACAAATCGCAGTATCCTCTGACACGACACTGCGCCACAATGTGTTCATGCCGCCAAGTCAAGAATCTTCGCTTCACCCGGTAGGAATGCGCCAAGGTATGAAAATCCCCTCTGCAAGGCAGACGTGGACAAGATGACTTAACAGTGACAGCTGCAATTACACTTGAGTGTCAGTTGATGCCACGTTGCAACACTATCATGTCAAAGTATTTATGTATAAATTTAAATTAGACGTATAATCTGAAACAATGTGCGTTACACGTGCATAGCTATGGATTGCTTATTTTTTTGTTTAGGTATATTCAATTGATTCACATCTCTGTTTGCGTTAATTTATTTGTCAGAGGTAACTTTCAAGTAGACTTCCATTGAATATATTATTTTCACCTGTAATAAAAAAATACACACTTGCCCTTTTTCTCTCCACGTAAAAATGTATTTACATTCTATCATCCAATGGACTTTCCAGATCAATACTTGTTGAAACAATTCTGGAACGGTTTTAACCTTTATGATCTGAAAATTCCATAGGCCGTTAGACCAAAACATTAATTTTTTTGTTGGACAGATACATTTAAATCTGTTTCTTTATTTTATGATCAAGATTGCTCCACAAAGAAACACAAAATGAGTTTGTATTTAATCTCAATACTCAAATTAGAAATCAAAGTAGCACTGCGTGTGTATATAAATATAGAAATGTAGTGTGCTCAAACAGAGACAAAAAAGGTCACATTGACCTCATGTCAGACCCATTTTTGAGGACAATTTTTTAATAAGTAATTAATATTAGGGGTTTCAATATTGAACATGTATACGCTGTAATAAATACGAAATTATTGAAAACAGCACGACCTCGTGATAATTATAGCAATTGGGACTGAGCCACTTACGATCAAAAGGGCATCCGCCCACCATATTCTGGCACAGAGTATTTTTTAATATACTTTCAAAAACATTGGAAAAAGTGTGTGTTTAATTCAGAACTATACACGGGATATACTTTTTTGTGGGGAGTTTTTTTTTTACTTCCCATAAATTCACGCGAAACAAAAAACATATCTTGACAAAGCATTTTTGTCTCTAATCTCAGAACTTGTTTTGCAACTTTACATTTAAAAAATTTGCAAGCAAAATGTATGTATTTTATTTATGCCAGTTCCTGCCATGGTAGCAACAAGAGGCAAAGGCTCTCCCCTCTGGCCAGAGAGGGCCCGACACCGCGTCTCATTCCTGTCTTGTTGCTACAAGCCGTAACTGGAGGACGACGTGAAATGGGTCGACAGGGTGAGGCCGTCCCTGCCTGCTGTCAAGATTTATGAGCCCCCCTCGGGCCAGAGACCCTTCAATAGGGAGGCCAAGAGTCAGGAATTTCAAAATGATCTCGGTCCAGCCTGCCTCCTGTACACTCTCACTTTTTTTAGGCTCCTCTTTGCGCTGTAGTTGTGAGCATGTGGCGACTGAACCTAAACGAGGTCCATTGGAAATTACCTGTGGTTCCATTGTGTTATTTAATTGTTTTATGTCATTTAAAAAGAAAATCCATGTTTTGTCATTGCCTTGCCAAATACTCTTTTGATTCATGGAGCCGTGGCGCAGTGGTTAGCACACGATGCTGTTCCTGGCCGCGGCAGAAACTGGTTATGAGTTATATCTGAACTAGTGCTTATGGTACCCACTACATTAACACACGCTGACTGGCATGGGAAAGCCTTCATTTAGCAGCCGATTGACAAAGGGATGAAACTAGATAGTCCAATTTTACGCAAGGCGAACACGATCGCTTTCCTTTATAATCTACAGCTACAGCTTACAAGAAAACCCTAGACGAAATAAATACATTTCTTCAAACACTTTGTTCTATGTGTGTAAGACATGTTGTGAACAGATTCACAGCAACAGACAACGTGCACGAAATGCATTTGCTATAAAAAATTAAACAGAACCTTCTCATTTCAGATTGAGGTCAAAGCATCCATCAGTGGCTATCACTGACAGTGGATAAAAAAAGGGAATTAAGAAGAAGACAGCTATTATTTCGCCTGCAGCTCTTTCTGAAATACATTTTACAAAATCCCCACGGAACACACCCAATTGTAAGGCACATTTTGTCACGCACTGCAGAACAGTGAACAACATTGTTAGCGGCTTCTTGGGAAGCGTGGCAAGACTTTTAACTCCAAAGCCCACGACAGTAACATTGGATTTTAATAATACCATGACGATAATAATTTTATCGATATATACGGTTTCAGTTCAGTTTGGTTCAGCATACAAATATTAAAGGTCACGATTCACTACGGCATTTTTTAGGCAACAGTTGCAGAAAATAAATTACTATGTGCAGCTATGGTGACTTGGTGTGACAATGGCATGGGGTTACAGAGCTCTATCTGGCCAATGAAAACAGAGTTTGTTGAACGGTGTGTTTGATGAAAAATTTAAAAGTCTACAAATCACACAAACGTAGTTAATTGGAGGTTTCTATGTCAGTTGCACACTAGGGTAGCAGCAGTCAGATGTGGTCAGATGTTAGATTACCAGTGGCAATTTCCAGCAAGGATTCCCCTAAACCATGTGTCATGGTTTTAACTCATGCATAATTTTACTCTCATGTATCATGGTTTTAACTGAACACAATCAGGAGGTCCAACTTGCCATAGTCATTTGGTTGTCACTGTCATCAGCAGATACCCACAGAGACCATTAACACATTTTAAATGTTTGAATTTACCCCTCTTTCAACAACTGTTACGAATTAATCAGAAAATTTTCCGCTTAACTGAAGTACATTGAGGCGTAAAGAGTGATGATGATGTATTTCAATGGGTTCTCACTCAGTCATATCCAAATTCACCATATAAAGTGAAGCGTCATGGGCAGAATTATCGCACTCCACCCAGTCCATTGCATAAACCTCCCCAAATCCATTAAGCCATCTCTGTGTGACGTCACATGACAAGGGATGAGTGTGCGCACCTATGAATAAAGTAAGGCCAAATCTGAATCGGGACAACTTTGAGTAACTTCAAGGGGGTTTTTTGAAGTCCCCTGTGAATCACACGGCGTGTATATTTGGTTGATACGCCGGTAGTAATAACAAGGGCTGTCTGGCGGACTCAAACCACGAACCTCTGGACCAAGGGTCGGCAACCAAAATGACAACAAGAGCCATTATTTTTTAATTCGGTGGAAACCCCCTCCCCGCCACCCCTCAATATTTCAAGAGCCGCAATGCGATGTGGTCCTTCATAGATGACGTCACGACAGAGTCCTTCAAGAGCCACATGCGGCTCCGGAGCCGCAAGTTGCCGAGCCCTGCCCGACACGTGGCTCTCAGTGAGCCGTGGCACCACCCCGACAAAGGCCCTTTGCAAGAGCTTGCATGGCTGCATTCTTTTCCACTCAATAAAAAAAATGCCCTTTTCATCATCTGTACAAGTGGTGAACGATATTCACGTGTCTTTTCTAGGGACTGATTTATCGTATGCAAGCGGTCAATTGTAGAAATTCCCGAATCAGAATCTGTATTTATCCTGGAGAAATCCGATGAGCTAGAAAGCTCTTTTTCACAGATGTCCAGTCGGGGCGGGTCATAAAGTTACAACAACAAAGACCAATAAGTAAATAAACCATAGGCTTGCAAAGTGCGGGAAAGTTCAGCTTTATTGTGCAATTGATTGGCCCCCAAAATGTCCATTCACTCTGAACGTTGTGAGAAATGTATGTAGATGTGTAAGAAGGATCATGGGTTTGTAATTCTTAAAGTCAGTTTTTGTCTGGATGTTTAGTTCTGTCTCCAGCTCAACTATGTAATATTCACCAATGTCTACGTGTTGTATGATGACATACAGGAGGGGTACTGTTCACACCTCGTGATTTTTAGCACTTTCTGCTCCCTCACCTTTCCATATGACATCATGGATATTGGATCCGGAGCTGCTGGGGGATTGGGGGCCGTGGTTCAAGATTTTCACCAAACATCACTCCGCTGGTCAATGTTGGTTGGTGAAGGTAAACACATTTGGGTACACCTCCCGCTGAGGATACAATTGGCTTGGGTGCTCCTGGCCATTATATATCTACGCAGGTTCTAAACGCTCTCAACTTCAAGACAGTACTCCTTCGAATAACAATGTGTCAGATTATATAAACATTTGAATATTCTTCTTCACGCTTGCCTTTTTTTTATCTACCTGCCCATCCCCAATTGATGAGTTGTAATTAATGTGCTGCCCAAATCAATGTTCAAATAAACCTAGAGCTTTGTGTTACTGTTATTATAATTGCCTCAACTTCTGTCGCAAATCCTCAAGAGCAGAAATCGCTCTTTAGATTTTAAAACATTCTAACCGACGATGGAACACAGGATTTAAACTGTTAACTGAATCCAACAAAGCACTAAATTTTAGCAGTCTGTCCGAACAAATACCCAAACCAAAATAATGAATAGGCAGCAATACCGATTGTTAATGGTACATATCCTGTCTTAAAATTTGCAAAAAACAAAAGCTAAATCCACTAATAACTCTTTTTGAATGAAAGTGCAGTTTTTTACTTCAGAGGCTTTTATTTTGAGTGAAATCACGTTGAAACTAAATATTGTGTACAGCCCCAGGGTGTCAAACTGCTGAATTATAAAATTCCGTTTGATTTCGCACCCATTACTAAAAATGAGTTTCTCGATTATGTGCATCGTCTGCCAAAACACCGAAATACCTGGGTCTTGTAAGGATGTCTGCTTTACAGTATAGTGCAGGTGAGCAGATTAAATCATACTCAAGGGCAATGTGGCAGAAGGCCAAACAACAATCAGACGAGATGCTGCCTATATTCTTGGTTCTTTCGGTAAAGTCACGTAGAAGGGAAACAATAAAATAATAAAGATATAAAACAATAAAGTTCTCACGACGTTTCGACTGAAACACAAGCAATCATCATCAGGTGTGAAAACCACAGCAAGAAAGTTTTGCCAGGCAAATGGCTAAATGGAAGTGCATAGAGATGCTGCCTGTAAAGTTTAATCCGCAACGCGTGTGGCTACATGTTCAAAGTAGATGGTCAGAGATGTATTTTCCAAACACCTGTACCAACTCCTGCTATTAATGCTATTATTTAAATGATTTCCCAAAGTGCATAGTGTCAATAAGGCTCCAATACCGCACAGAAGGTATGTTAAGTGTAGGCTTCTCCATATGCTGACGCGCTGGTTCGCAGGAATGCATTTTTAATCATGGGTATTTTACAATCATTGTTTGTTTGGGAAATATATTGTTTAATTATGATACCGTCTATACATACCGACCTATTCTGGCATACCATGGGCACCGTCACCTAATCTCTTCTGGCGCCTCTTGCTGTCACACTATACTTGCACTGCTTTCTTTTTATTCACGTGTGTTTATGTTACTTGTCAAATATCTAGTTTGTTGTGCAATTTTCCTGAAGGGCCTTGCACGCCTTCTCTGTAATATCGATGTCTTTTGTTTTTGTCTCTGCTGCTGCTGCTGCGGTGGTGCTCACACACCACGGATCTTCCTTTGCAAAAATTGCCAGGCAAATGGCTAAATGGGATCGAAAGATGCAACAAATACAATAATACAGCCGAAAAACCCTCAAAGCCGTTGGCCCTGTTACTTGTAATGGATTTTTCATCACGTGAAAAGGCCATCAGAATGAGGCGGGTTTCAATGTTCAAGTTTGGTGAAGTTAAAAACAAAAAAAAGAATGCAAATAAACTTCTGTGTGGCCACAGCGATGCAGAAATGTCACGAATCCAGACATTCCGGGAAAGAGCCTTGCGATATTAAAACATTTTTGTTCTCACCTGCAAACCCGCGGGCCCACGCTCTCCCTTCTCGCAAGCGCATTTAGCCGGGGCGGCGCACTGCAGGTGAACACGGAAGTCGTGCAGTTTAATTGGATGTCAAATGAAGCCTCAAGAGTTTACACATTGCGCACACGGTCAACAACATTTGGCGGTGAAAATATTACATTTTTCTTCTTTGGTTCTTTCGGTATTATTATTTTATTCTCATTCTACGTGACTTTACCGAAAGAACCAAAGAAGATGAATCCTTGCAGTCACGAAAGCTTTAAATCTAAATATTACATTTTGCGGAGAAGACTCGCGTTGTATATGATACAAGCACAGAACGTAAAGCACTTACCCCTTCTGATGCCAACAGAGACTGGAATATAAACGAAAGACAAGGGTTAACAAATCGTCCATTTGTTTTACGTGACATGCCCGTCGATGTGACATTGATTCGTTTTGCGTACAAAACATTTGGAGAGATGTGTATTCACGCCGCCGTGCAACTCTGCGCACAGATCCCTACGTGGAAACTTCACCACCATCGTGTCGCTTCAGGTGGCGAGGGGCTAACCCTGAGGCATTTTTCCAACTCGGGCTCCACACTGAGTACCGAGGCTGACAGCCTGGTATGTCAGGACGTCAGCAAATCAAGGCCCGGTGATGAATTGCAATTACCTTCAGATTTAAAGCATCGAGTCTTCTCTAAGATGAATTACCGCTTCGCAAAAAGTTCCATTTGACCGTCCCGCAAAGCCCGATCGTGGCTAAAGGCGTGAATTTTTTTACGTGAAAAAAGCAGCAAATTCTCAACCATTTTCTGAGCGAATTCTAGAGTCCCGTTCTGAGAGACCACCTTCTGCCCTGTTTTTTTTTCTTTTCACAGACTGAAGCAATATATTTTTTTTTCATGCAGATCTCCGCTCACCTCAAAACTTTACTCGCAAAGCGATATATTAGGGAACGCACAGCAGTGGCATCCTCCAAGAGCACTCACTCAAAACGTAACCTTTCTAAAGTAATGCTCAACGGAAACAAGACGTGAGGAAAAACATATCTCTCGTGTCCTCCTAATTCCCATCCTGCAAATAAAAACAAATGGGGGGGGGGGGGGCTCCCCCTCTCACCATCTCCTTGAGGAGCTTGTCCATGACGCCGCTGTCACGCATATTGTGCACGTAGCGCGTGGCCGGCACGCTGGCCAGCAGCCGCAGCTTGGCCGCGTTCGCCGGCTCTTCGGCGAGGCCGGAGAGGCCCACCACGAAGAGCCGCACCCCCTGGTTCTTGGCGTCGGTGGTGGCCGCCACGATGTCGGGATTGCGCGGGTGAGCCTCGCCGTCCGTCATGAGGACGGCGAGCATGACGCCGCTGGTCCTGGACTCGCTCAGGAACAGCTGCGTCATGTTGGTGATGGCGTAGGTGGTGTAGGTGCCGTGGCCGATGTAGCCCATGGGCTGGATGCGCGAACGGAAGTTCTGGGGGCCGCGCCAGTCGTTGAAGCGCTGCTCCATGCGCACGCTGCTGCTGTACTGCAGCACGGCGATGCGCCAGCTCGCCCTGCGTTCGCCCGGCACGTGCTGGTGCTCGAGCCGTTCGGAGAAGTCCAGCACGAACTTCTTCTCCTCGGCGTGGTTCACCGCCTTGGCGCTCTCCGAGCTGTCGAGCAGGAAGGCCACCTCCACCGGGCACGCGCCGTCTTGTGGCGGCACAATTATGGTGAAGTTACGCGCCAGGCGCTGTAGCAACCTCAAGTCACGGTGCTTTGATGCTGCCCGAATGGCGGATGAAAATTGAGACTTACCGAATGGTCATTGCGTGTTTTGGGACCGATGTTGGTTACCTGGAAATACTATTAATGCACCCACAATTCATCAATTTAAGACTAAAGTTACGTTGTTTTTTAATCGAGTGTAGCTAAATAATGTCCACTTCTTGCAGATTTATTTACAAAATTTTATATGTTTTAGTGCCATGTCTGCCTTGCCCGAAACAAATTGCATCGCAGTGAGTGGCTTTGGCCAATTGCAATTAAATCAATGAATTCCCCATACTAATTGACGCCAAAACCTTACACATTTAACAACATCAGAATACATTCCGTTGCATGTCCAAACAATCTCTTGAAATGTGTCCGCGTGTCATTTGAATGTCCTTCGCGTCCACCACCACCATCTCCAGCGCTCCTGCCCATTACCTTTAGATTCATCGTTGAGCAGCAGCTTTTGCCGCGCCCGCCCTCTGACCCGTGGCAGGGAGGCCCTGTCCCCTCTCTCCTCGTGCGGACTCCCTGCCGCTGGCCACACCACCACCAGCAGCAGCACGCACAGCGGCACAAGCAGGCAGCGAATCTCCCCGCGCAGACTCGCTCGCCCTCCCATTGCTGCAGCGACACAGACAGCGTTGGTTACGCAAGTGAAGGTGCTGTCCGGGCTGTGACGTGAGTCTCACGGTTCGACTCCCTCTGGTTATTACAGACACGCACGCGCCATCTGCTTCCGCGGTGGGCGTTGAAAGATCTTGTAAAGTATTTTTTGTAGGAGTTAGGCCATTGTGTGCCGGCGTCATTGGTCCAAATGTGTCAAACTTGAAACAATCACTCAATTGGGATTAAACATGCCAATCCTCGCCCCCCCTGCTGCGAAAAGTTGGCAGGACTGTCCAGGAAAAAGAGTCATGACTCCGTGAGTTTTCCTGGATAAACAAGCACAATACAAAATTGAGAGTTATGTGGCCACCTACTGTACGACTGGAAGGCCATTGGTAACGTCTTCTACATCCTGCAGATCATATTACCGTGAAGGTTTCACAGATGTGCGGTATTCTCTCTGATGTCTTTTCGGGTTATGCTGCGTGTTGCTCGGAGACATACTGTATACTGCTGGTTGCGTTGTTCAGTGAGATGTCCAACGTTTCGCTCCATGTGCTGGGGAGCTGAAAAACCTGTGTATGTGGAACTTACTTTTTACACCGTACGTAGTCAACCATGCTGATCGGAGGTGCGGAGGAAGGACAACAAACTACAGGTAAAACTCAAAAAGCAGTTTTAAAGAAATTAGTTTTCAATCTAAATTTAAAAGTGCACAGCTCCAGTGGCTTCCTGGAGCTATCTGTCTTTGTTCGATGGTTCGCCAAAAATCGCTGCTGCGAGGATGGACCGGAGTCCGCGTGATGGTTTATGCCCCTTGACGAGATCAGCGAGGTATTGTGATTCATTGTGGCAAGCACTTTGTGTGTAATGAGCACCACATTATAATGTATTCGTTCGGAAACCAGAAGCCAATGCAGCTCGGAGAGCAATGTACGGAATGTGGTACAGGCTCAAAAAAACACATTGGAGGCCTAGCCTGTTGGCATCCTTGATATCTTATTGCATCTGTTTTTTTTTTACTCTGTAAATTGCATATAGAAATTATAAATTACAAGTTTATTTTTTCCATCTGAGATACGAGCAGTGAATCTCAAAGGGTCTGTGCTTGTTGAAAAAATTGGTTTCATGCATACTTTTGTTTATTTGACTTTGTATATATTACTCAGGGCAATTTCTTCTCAATGATCCTCATCCAACAAAAAACGGCAAGGGCTTCTGCTTTTGCAAAAAAGTTGTAGTTTGTTCCCTCTCCATTTAAAAGGATGTCATCGAGTACGGAATTACTATCGGTACTACATATACAAAATGAAGCCACGCTCATTCCCAATACTTTTTTGTTCAACAAGTCCTCACATAGGACTGTTTGGCCATTTCCTTTCTTTTGTGTGTGTTAGAGAGAAAACAAAGAACAAGGAGAAAATACTCAGAAATCCATAATGGACCAACAAATAATCCCACAACCTCTACGATATAGCCACGTGTGCGATCGTTTTGCACACGTGCCGATCGATTTGTCATCCGCCAACCCACCCCCCCCCGCCCCGCCTCAAAAAAGCATTGGAATACCGGCGTGCGCGACAGGAGGAATTGACGTTTAGCGCAGGACCCTGGCTAGGGTCTATCGGCAAACCGTTTATTTATAAAGGTCGGGTTGCATGAACTCCACGCCGTGATCTGCAATCGCCCTTGAGCAACTCTGGCGCGGTTCAAACGCCGCACGCGAATCCCCGCCACCTCGGCGAGAGAGGGGACACGTTTGTCTCTGATGGGTCTGTCGGCCGTGCAAGGGTTGACCGCGCACGGCGAACATAGCTGCGCGCGAGTCCACGCCAGAACTGTCACTCTGTAGCCACCACCGGCGAGGTGGCATCGCTTTAACGGGCCCAATGTCCGTATGGCGGCGGGGGGGGGGGGCGGTGGTCATTTTGCAGTGAGTAATGCGACGACCGTTTGATAATGATTAATCAGTCGGTTGTTTAAAAAAAAAAGTGCACTCTGATTCGCCGTAGAAATGAATTGGTGAGACTAAAGTGGTGCTACCTTTTTAGGGGTCTGGTTCAAGGAAACTCGGCAATGCTGTATTAGAGCAATGCATGGACGTAGCCAATGTGTCTATGCCTTCAAACGTGCAACCTTGATTTGTCTTGCATTTTCTGTTGCTAAGCAGTAGGTGGCATTTTTTTCGAGTCATTATGCATGTTACTGGAACTTCTTTCGCACCATTCGTAGCCAACGGTGCTAATCGGAGGTGCGAAAATTATTCACTCGGAAGCATACAACTTTAAATTTAAAAATATGTATATATCACGCATAGCATATGCCGTAATCACCTATACATCCCACAGCGCATTTGCTCTGTTAGCCGTAAACAGTGCAGGGCTGCGTTGTAACGGAGAGACAATTGTCTTCTAATGCGCGGCACCACGCTGCATAGAGCAAGCACTGCCGCACTTTGTAAGCCGACGTTCTCCGTGCTACAAGCGACTGGTTGGTTCACTTTAGCTTCGATTCCAAGCAGGATCCGGGAAGCTCGCCCACACCCTCACGAGTTCCCGAACCACTGAGTGGTTTTATGAAACCTGCGCCTTAACGTGCGACTCCTGCGGTCGCCCTTTTGAGGGAAGAAAAGCACAGACTTGCAAATACGAGGAATACCCCCCCACCTGCCCCCCACCGAAAAAAATATATGTGGATGTCTCTTCGTCAAATGTAAACACTTTTGGGGGTGTCCGCATTGCCTCTGCGACATCACAATACGACACGTATAGGTATTCTGCTTTAATCGCTTCTTGCAAAAGTTCAACTGCAAGTATTTTTTTTAAAGCTACATTCCGTAGCCAACGTGAACAAACTTCCAAAAAAACGAAAGTTAAACAATGAACACGCCTCACAATAAAATAAAGTTGTCAAACAGACATCGCTGGCATAACATTTAACATTCAAGTTTACAGCACCTTGAAGAACACTTGCTATTCACACTTTTCTGACCCTTATCGTGCAACTTATGTATTTCAAGTAATAATGCACACTTTACGTCGTTGTTAACACATTGCAGTATGTAGTTGCGTTATAGACTGCCTTAAAATACCGCTGTTGGCATATTCGAAGTGCCTTAAGCTGAAATACATTATACTTTATAAGAAGTTAACGTTTCGTGTAAAGCCCCGTTGCGCGAGGGCAATTGTAAAAAAAAAAACGCGTACAGTTACATCGTAGCAAAGTTAACAATAATCTTAACTTACCAAAGAGATTATTTTATGAACACCAGTGCAACCTCGAAATATTTCGCAGAACGTCTGCAGCCTGATACAGCGCCACTCACCTGCAGGCAGGCAGGTAAGTGAGAAGATTGTGTGTGTGGGGGGGGTGGGGGGCTGACCTGTGCTCAGCAGTGATGTGTGTTTGCATGCGGGGTGTGCATTTAGGAGTGGGTGTGTTAGTTGGGTCTGGGTGTACGCTTTGTATGAGCGTGTCTGAGCGTTTGATTATCCCAGAGTGCCGTGCTGTCGCACACAGAGAACCTCCCTAGACGGGGGGGTGGGAGTGGTGATGGTGGGTTGGAGGAGGGGGTGAGGACAACTCTACTGGATGCAAGTTAACAACTCTGCCTTGCGGAGGTCTTCCCACACTGGGACAGATGCCCACTCACGCATTTGTCTTTCCCTCTGGTTTTAAAATGTATGCTTCTGCGGCTTAAAGAGTGGGAGGATCTCTTTTTTTGGGGGGGGGGGGGGGGGGGGGGACAAACAAAAACGAGTTTCTGACCCACCACGGTCGTTCCCTTAGAAAGGGAATTCCCACTGAGCCGTGGTGCTGGTGCCGTGAGCTGGCTGCCTATGTGAATAATTTGCTACTGTGAAACAATTGCAGCAAGAAAATGTGAATGGATTTACAATAATTACATCTTTGAGAATAACAACGGACAAAATGGGCTGTGGGGGAGACAAAGCTGTGGGCATATATTTATATTCTTGCTGCAATGGGCCAATGGGTAGCACACCGGACCAGCAATCCAGAGGTCGCCGGTTCAACCTCCCAGCGCGACATTTTAAACACTCTGGTTGCGGTCTCTCTCTCTCTCTTTGCTCAGGAGGGACATTGCCTGAAGCGTTAGCCTGTTAGATTATATACGTTTTCCATTGTATATGTTTACTGTTCAAACACAGTGCTGCTGATAAATGCAATGGTGGGGGGGGGGGGGGAGTCTCTCAGTCCTTATCCACAAACACAGCTTGGCGTGGTTAAATACACCGGTTGCAGTGTATAATATTAAACAAAAAATATAATATGATGCATTGATATTAATGTGCAAGGCAGCTTTTTTTGTGAATGGTGTTGGTGGATGAAGTATTGTCGGCCTGGACCTTAGCCTCTGGTACATGTAAATACAAATTAACAGCACAGATTCTAGAACAAATGAGAAATGGGCCGAGAAAGCTTTCAAATTAGAAAAATTGTCTTCTCCATTGTTCGCAATGTCTTGCTCGATTGTTGAGAGATCAATAATCGTCACAGACATTCATTCGTGGGTCCATCCATTTAGTGTCCGGTGCCTTTATGCATGCACATTATGCCACGCTTTCTCTTCAGTCGTATTGATTTTCTTTGCAAAGTTGTTAGATATTTATTTTCATTTTGTAAAATTTCCCTTCGACTGACCGACATTTTGTCCGGTGTAATTAGCAAAAAAAATATTCTTGTAAATCAATTCACATTTTCGTTGCAATTACTACAGAAAATGCGCGAATACATGCTATATTTGATAAGAAAAAAACAACACTACTCATTCTGTTCGCATGCCATTTAGAGGTAAATTGTGTTTCGTTTCACGCCACCTTATTCCAGCTGTTCTCTCTCGACATTTGTGAAGTTGACGCGGATATCGCCATGACGTCACCCTGCGGTGACACTCCGGGCGGTGACGTAGGTCCATCGGTGAGCGCGGTTGCCGCTCGCTGCAGAGGTTCACGGTTCCGACTCCAGCGGCTGCCCTGGTTATTATTGACGCCGTCCGCTTCTCCGCCGTACGTGAGGGAAAAAAGTATTTGATCCCCTGCTGATTTTGTGCGTTTGCCCACTGACAAATAAATGATCAGTCTATAATTTTAATGGTAGGTTTATTTGAAGAGAGACAGAATAACAACAAGAAAATCCAGAAAAACGCATGTCAAAAATGTTATAAATTGATTTGCATTTTAATGAGGGAAATAAGTATTTGACCTCCTCTCAATCAGAAAGATTTCTGGCTCCCAGGTGTCTTTTATACAGGTAACGAGCTGAGATTAGGAGTACACTCTTAAAGGGAGTGCTCCTAATCTCAGCTTGTTACCTGTATAAAAGACACCTGTCCACAGAAGCAATCAATCAATCAGATTCCAAACTCTCCACCATGGCCAAGACCAAAGAGCTCTCCAAGGATGTCAGGGACAAGATTGTAGACCTACACAAGGCTGAAATGGGCTACAAGACCATTGCCAAGCAGCTTGGTGAGAAGGTGACAACAGTTGGTGCGATTATTCGCAAATGGAAGAAACACAAAAGAACTGTCAATCTCCATCGGCCTCGGGCTCCATGCAAGATCTCACCTCGTGGAGTTGCAATGATCATGATAATGGTGAGGAATCAGCTCAGAACTACACGGGAGGATCTTGTCAATGATCGAATTTTCTTGCTGTGAAAACCACAGCAAGAAAATTTGAAAAAAGTGGCTTTTTTAACGTTAGCACCACGGATAGCGATTTGACAGTTTGTTCAGATGGACGAGTCCACCTATGTTCGGAAAAGAGGAGGGGGGAGACGAAAATAATGGATGCGGTCTGACAGCCACCGTAAGCGTGAACAATCAATTAAGACCCGAAATGGTTGATCAAATCCTTCCAATGATTGCTAAGCCAGAAACCATCTTCTCGGTTGAAATTGTCTCTATGTTTGTATATGTGGATAGCCTCATGAACGAATCTCTTATGGTAGCCAGATGGCTTGCAAAGCATAATAATTATAATATATTGCGGGTTAAATCATGAGTTATTCAGTCAGGAATGTGGTTAATGATGAGCTAGTCGTCTGAATCCTCAGCATGTCACTCTGGGCAATGATAACCATCCCGCAGAGTCTCTACCCACGTGGCGATTGTGAGAAGAGTGTGTGCATAAGAGGATAACGATTCGGTTTCCGTACTTCGCCACGAGGCTTTCTCGTCTCCTTCTTGATGGACACCCATGGAGACGTGAGTAGTTTGATGGCGAAATCTCGCTATGGCCAAACTAGCTATGCATTTCATCTGTGAATGACATTTTATCACATAAGCAATACATAACCGAATTTTGATTTAAAGCTTTCGTGACTGCAGGGATTCATATTCTTGGTTCTTTCGGTAAAGTCACGTAGAAGGGAAAAAATAAAATAATAAAGAACCAAGAATAATACATAACCGAATTAAATATTTCGGATAGTGATGGGAATGCAAGCCTTTTACCTAGGCATAATTAACACATTTTTCAGAATAAATTACTTGGAAAAGATAAAAAAATATAAATGTCATATTATTTTATTGAACACTTAACAAGAACAGGAATTTTTATTTAAAGCTTTCGTGACTGCAGGGATTCATATTCTTCGTTCTTTCGGTAAAGTCGCGTAGAAGGGAAACAATAAAATAATAATAAAAAACGTCACTTTACCGAAAGAACCAAGAATAAGAACAGGAATGTTAGCATTATTGTACATTCTTTAGATATTAGTAACAAAACACACGTACATATATATTGCACACACTGCGTACATTTTTCGTTGAAGTCAGCCCATAGGTAAAATCTCTTCTGATATACGCAGCTCGACTGAGCTCTGAAACTAATACCAAATGCGATTTCCAAGAAGGTAATAGTCCCTCTATTGGACACATTTAGCCATGACACTGCCAAACATATGCGATGTATTTTGCGGTTGTGCTGTATAGAGACAGGCTCTCAGACATGTGTTCGGGTTGTACCCCGTGTTGGTTGGCATGATGAAGCGACGTTTCGTTCCATCTGCTAAGAACCCTCTTCAGTAAGAAGAAGCTTCCCTTCACGTCAAACAAAAGAACAAACACGCACGACAACCTGAAAACACATCGGAGAGCTGGCGAACATCGCTCGAAGTTCGGTATTCACAATTGAGCCATCTTTTGCGATTGCCATAAGCAACGGGCTGCGTATCCTTTGAATGCGTTCAAAGCGGAGGGCACTTAATGCATCACCATTCGAGCACAGTGCATGCACCACAAAGAGGATCAGGACGTCTAAAATAAAACAAGGATCCTTGAACTCATGGGCATGCGTTTTCATACAAACCACTTTTTCTTTTAAGTCTACACATTCACACCATTCCCATAGTGACCTAAAATAAGTGTTAAGAATATTCTGTAAAAAAAGAGTTTATAATGTTAATATTGTAATAGTCTTTAAACACTTAAACATTGTCTCACGTACACTCAGTGGTGTCTCAGGCTTAGCTGGAGCAGCCGCAATGCTCGGAGTTCCACCCTTACCCTGCAAAACAAAGACAAAGATCCCCCGTATAGCCTTAACAGACTGTTGGGGGCAAGTGCTGTTAGCGAGCACCTATGAAGGCCGGCACGGTACACGAGGGGGTGGGTGGCCAGCATCACGCCCGGCCGCCTTTGACTCCCGAGTGGCGATGTTTTTACGCACCGGACCAGGTACTCATTTGAGGCGGAGTCAATCTAAGGGAGGCCCGGGACTAATTCAGATCATTGTTACTTGTTTATTAATGGCCGTGAGCGGGAATCAAACTCTCTTCGCCGAATGCGTAGCGCAGCGCGCTAACCGCTGCACCACCGCTCCCCTGCTCTCCCTGCTCAACCTCCCATACAAACAGCCTAGTCACATTTTGCCGATTGCTATAGAAATGCGGTCCCATTCATCATGCCGGTGCCTCGTTTGGCGCGCGGACGGCTGAAAAGTCGAGAGGCCAGGAGGAATTACACGGTTGGAGATAGGGTGGTGGTGGTGGTGGTGAGCACACGCTGGTATGCATGGTTTTTGGGCTCACCTGTGTTTGCCTTCCTTGTTCTGGCCAATTGCCTATATTTCAACAAACCTTAAACGTTCAATTTAGCCTGAAGGTGTACCTAGTATGGCACAGGGGCTGCAGGGAGGTTACTGCCTTTATTGGGTGACTGGCATCGCTTGTTCTTATCTGCATAGAATGCCTAATGTATGTTTGTTTAACTTATTTGGCACACATACATAACCTACCGTAGTAATCGTCTCAAATGTATATTATATAAACAAGTCTATTCTTATTATTGGTTCTTTCGGTAAAGCCACGTAGAAGGGAAATAATAAAATAATACAAATATAAAACAATATAATTCTCACGACGTTTCGACACAAGCAATCATCATCAGGTGTGAAAACTACAGCAAGAAGATTTGAAAAAAGTGGCGGTGTTTTTTAACGTTAGCACCACGGATAGCGATTTGGCAGTTATTCAGATGGACGAGTCCATCTATGTTCGGAAAAGAGGAGGAGAGAGACGAAAATAATGGATGCGGTCTGAAAGCCACCGTAAGCGTGAACAATCAATTAAGACCC